TAACAGCTCAGTACAATTTTCTTTGTTTTCAATATTTTCCTGTTTTTTAATACTTTTATTATATTTTGAAAAACATCTTTCTCTATCCAAATACGCCTTCAGATTTTGGTATCGCCTTTTCTATTTTTTATTAAAAAAATCCTAAATATTTAAATATTTACGCTTTTTTAACTTTGGCATCACCATTTTGTAATTTGCATGTTGCGCTCTTTTGCTGACAGACATACATTGTCTTCTTACAACTGATGTTTAGTCCTTTCTTCTCGCTTTCCCTTATTTCATTCTATAGGAGTTCCTGTATTTTTCTTTTTGTGTTTTCTATCAACCCTGTGTCACCTGTATATCTTATTTTGTTAAGATTGTGGCCGCCAGTAATGAATCCTGGTAGGACCTCTAATTCTTTCATTTTTTTTTTCCGCTGTAAAGGTTGAATAAATCCGGTGAGAAGACAGATTTTAAAATAATGCAATTTACCTTAATCACAGTTGGTTGATTTTCTTTTACGGTTTATCAACCTTTCGTAGCTTCTTTAAAGTTAAAACATTTTGGATTCTAAGAATATTTTTTTGCAAGTGAATATGGTATTAATTTTTAGGGAATAATAATGATTTTCAGATACATGTCATACTATTTAACCCATAGGTTGGGAAGAAGATGCGAATTCATACCTTTCCCAATAATATTTGCGCATAAGTGAATGTAACGAACCCGACTGGAATTCGAACTCGGCTCTCCGATTTCTCTTTCCGAGTCATTATTCATTGTACCATCAGCACATCGAAGTTTACGGCACGTAGTATTCCCAAGCAGTCACTCACTTGCTTAACTTCAGTGATCGAACGATAACCAGTGTTTCAAATTTAATCATAGTAGGTAATCTAACAAATTACAAGTTAGAATTGATTTGAGATATTTTAACTTTTTAAATGTTCACCCAATCCAATGCTCAATAGCCACTCCAGGTAGAGGGTTACTGAATGAGGTTTTTGTATGGGCGTAAGAGGAGAAAGTAAGTGCATATTATGAGGATATGTAGGATAAATAACGACTGATATGAAGGGGTTAAGATTGTAGTAACCGAGGAAGCATTCTCTCGGTAATATGTCCCACAAAGCAGCGGTTTTGGGGGAAGAAGCTGCCTGAATGAAACTTCTTCCTTACCAAAATAACCAATGGAATACGAAGGCAACGAGGGTGATTCGACTTTGTGGACTTGGCATGGCGTGTCCTGGCTGTAATGGTCTGGACTGGTGGAACTAAAGAACGGAGATCGTCTGAACATTTGCCATAGGAATATCGATAACGTAGAGATATGCTTGCTACGTTTCGTCTGTGAGAAAGGGTCTGTAGCGTTGAAAATAATTCATCGCCTACAAGGCTGTGTAAACGATTTTAAACTCTGTCAAAACTGGAAAGTGAGGATTGGGCAGTTCCGACCCAGAATTCGGGGTCTGGCCTGACTTTTGTAAAGATAGAGAATAAGTGGAAGTGTCGGGTATTTTTTTTACAGCGGTACAAGAAACCAAACGTTTTTTTAAACATATCTAGAGATGTATATATGAGTCCCACTTAAGGGGTCTGGAGTGAGCTTGAATCCCAATAGACGTTCATGGCAAGAGAGGTGGAGGGGATCTCATTGAGAGTTGAACCGGACATCATGACTGGAAAGAATTTAGGGTGATGATAGAACGTTAAGATATTCTAGTGTGTCATCTAATTTTTTGTTCAGATAGTGCATGCGCAACTCATCTCATGCACGTCACATCCGGTGCTTGCATCTGTATTTTCTTAGGATTATTGTCTCATTGAAACCTCCTGCTGAACTTTGCATATATCTCTCGAACTGGGCCTATGGCATTCCAAGTTGATCGCTTGTTGAAATTCGCACGATGATGTTTTCAAGTGGCTCTCTGTCAAGTCTCAAGAGCTCAGACAGAAAAGCGGACTTTCCGCAAGGCATTTTTTTTTCTTTTTTTGTAACGTTGGATGCGATTCTGGTATTGGGGAGGAGAAAATAAATTTTAAAAACAGCAACAAAGCCCATGAAATTATTCAGAGTCATAAGTAAAGAATCTGGTCATACAATTTTTTTATTAGAAAAATGTGTTCTTTGTTATTAAACAAAATGGTGTTCCATGAAAGAAAAATAAATTTTCCTTATTTTTTTTATTTTTTTTTTTATTTCACTCCAAGCAAGGCAATAATGCGACTAAGATGCAAGGGGTTACTAAGTGTGAGAGAATATGAGAAAAAGAAAACATTTTAAGAAGAGAGAACAATAAAAGAAAAGGAATTAAGAAGACAGACGATAACAATTGACATTGCATTTAAATTTTTGACACACAAAGGAAAGGAAGAAACCGGAAAAAAAGTTCCACAACCAAGAAGTGCGAGAAAAGAAACTGCATAGAACTCAGCTACATCTACCCATTCCTATTGTTATGAGTCCTATCTGCCAATCTATTACTGGACTGAACTCGTGAAATCTGGGTGACAACCAGGAAATCTCATCAGAACAATTAACATGAAAACATTTATAGACAACGGTACAGAGAAGCTACGTTACTTGAAAGAAACGTGCGATTATTTTCAAAGGACAAGCTTTTGGAGAGGTAGATTAAATTTTTAACGGAAATAGAATTGATTTACGAGGTTTGATCAAAAAATGATCCGGACTGTTGCTATAGTAACGGAACTAAACCCAGCAGAGTGAGGTCGTTTGGTACAGATTGACCTTGAACTCTGTCGCGCATACACACTAAATTATAACGTTCTCTCTCACTTTCGTTGTTTATAGCAGTGTTTGGAAGGAAAGTGTGTAGAATGTGGTCGTCTCACGATACCACGAAGGATTCATCTGTGACCATAGCTTGTGCAGCAGTTTTTGGTTAAGTACAACATTCCCCGCTCCGACAACGGCCATCTTCTCCAGATCTCGCCTCTCGCGGCGATTTCCTCTTCAAAACTCAAATCCTACTTGAAAGGAACAAAATTTCAAGACGTCGAGGAAGTCCAAGAGAATGCGATGAGGCAGCTGCTCGTTAATCCAAACAATGAGTTCTAGTAATGCTTCCATCAATGGAAGCGACGCTGGATAAAATGTGTAGCTTCAGAAGGAAGACTACTTCGTAGGAGATTAAATGCCGAATTGATATGTGTTGTAGTATTTTCTTTTTTAAGCACCAGTCACGATAATTTTCATTAGACCTTGTACTTTTACGAATCTACTTGCTGTGCGTATATTAGACTTTTTTACGGTTTCTCAACCATTTGCAGGTTATTTAAATTGATTTGTAATGTTTATGCATTATTAATTTTTTGCTTAAATTTAGACAGCAATTTTAAAATATTTTTGAACAGGATATTTGAAAAAGAAATTCCCTCCACGCCAAATACTGGAAACATTTTGTAAAAATAAACGAATCAGTAAGTTCATCAGAGTACACCTATATTTTTTTCTGTTGTTATTAACGTTATATTTGTTTGCACACAATTATAGCAACAGCATTTCTTTTCATTAAACGAAGTGTTGTCAACCATTATTATTCATTTTTGACTAATATTTAATTCATCTTGTTCACACTTCTCTCCGGTTTTTTGGAAGTAGAGATTCATTTCCTGTTTAGTATTGGGTTTCCGGTTTCTTCTAAAGGCTATTTCAACTCTATACTCCTAACATTTCCGCATGAACTCTGAAATATTTTTCACTAATTATTTTATTTTTCTCCTCCCCCAATAGGAGTAGATAGGTTCGCCTATCGTCCGGTTCACACTCCTCCCCGGTCTTTTGAACAGATGTAGCGGTTTTTCCCTTGTTTACTGTTTAGGATTGGGTTTCCGGTTTCTGCTAAAGTCCACTTCTACACTATATTTCTAATGTCTTCGACTGAACTCTGAAATGCTGTTCACTAATTAAATCTTGACCTCTTCAGGTCTAGAGTTTGCCGTTATCTTTCCTGCATAGCTCCAAGAACTTCACTTCTTGCCCTTTCTTAGGCTCATACAATACCACACAATAACCTTCTACCTTGAGTGGCTATTGGGCCTTGTATTGGGTGAACATTAGTAAAAAAATTGCCTTTCAGTTTTGACTCGTATTTAATTCTAATATTAAGATAAAAATAAATGAATAAACGGCAGATTCTCTCTGCCCGTCGGTGTGTCTGACCCCCCCCTCTGACTCGAGTCACACTAGCTGTACAGAGATATACCTTTTTGGAATCCGGGTGATTGAAATTCTGCCAACATTAGGATTTGTGTCCGGATGAGGAGGGAGCAGTTAAAAATCAAGTTTTGAAAATAATTGAAAAAAATTCGTGATTTGAAAACTTTTTTCATTTGTTTATGAGTTTAAACTAACACAAAAATGCTGAGAATTTTTAAAAAAAATTGTTTTAAATTCAGTTTAAAATATCTCGAAAACTTTGTGAATCGAAGAAATCAATTTTGTTTCTTCAAAATGCCAAGGAATCAGAATTAAAGTGAGAGGTTTCGTAACGTGACGTTTTGAAGTTCCACGGAGTTTGTGATTTGAAGAACTCAATTTTCGTTCCAAATCGATTGTTCCATGAAGTGAATTGAGGAATTCAAAGTTATTTCTTCAAAATTATCATTGCTGTGTTCTAAACTGGAGCAGAGATCTCTTCAGTTTTGGGCCGGAGTCCCAATTAGCCTCCCACATGAGCTAGTTTAAAAATCTGTACGGAGTGTGGCTTTTAAGCTTATCCCAAATAAATAACAGTTGCCAATGCTTCAATTTAATAAAAATGTTTGATTTTTCAAAAACTAACAGTAAAAATTGGAGTTTTTAATTTTTATTTAATTTATTAATTCTTTCGGGGTGGAAAGGTTGTAATTATGTTTACAGATCTCTCGTTGTGAACTTTACTCAGAAAATGATTATGAAATTATTTAAATCCCTGTTTGTTAATAAGACTTGATTTTTTTTCCTCCCGCGTTTCAGTAGAAATAGCCAGTCCCGTGTTAATGAAGCCAGGATCATGGGGATGATTTGTGGCAGTCCCTCCCGTCCGACGGAGCCCTCCCAAAAGAACAGCAAAGCCGTAACAAGTAAGTATCTCCTTTCTTTCCAATGTTTGAGAAAATGGGAAATATTAAAGAATGAAACTCAATCGACCCCCCCCCCCACACCCACACACACACACACCAGTCCTATCATTTGAATTCATGCGCTTGTCAAAGATGAGGGAACTTGTTTAGTTAGTTGTTTGGATAATGACAAATATTTTATCTCCTAATTTCAAACATCATTACCTAGTCTCCTCCACCGGGTAACGTAATATCAAATTTTCTAAAAAACTCTCGGCCGGTGAGAAGAGGGTTCAATTTATCAAACTTAAATAGTTCTACAGAAGGCTGCTGAGCATAGCATTGACGGATCATGTAAACCAAAACAAGAGAAATGAAAACAAAGCACATGTATACTTAGAATCAGAAAGAGACGGTTGAAATTTCTGGGACGCATAAGAAAAGAGGGTTTGGAGAATTTGATACTCACAGGATAAAAAAAACAAATATTTCTAAGAGCTACAAAAGAAGTTGTGGACAACTATGATCGTTCATATCCTGAAATGACACCGTAAATACAAAAAAAAAACTTACATGGGCGTGACTGTTTCCAAGATCGTCAGGAGGCCATGACCACTACCCACCCACACCACACACACACACTTCATTTTGTCTCGATTTGCATAAATTTAATTTGAAAATTGTTCTTCGTTCAAAGGAATAAATATATCCATAAAATGTTTTCATTTCAGGAAATCCTCAGAGTGGCGATTCGGTTGTTTTTAAATTAGATGAAATATTTATTACCTAAAGTCGTCGTCCTGGGTCAGACGATAAACTACATCCGCGTCATTTGTAAGACGATAAACTACGTCCAACAGCAAGGCCTCGAATCAGGAGGTTTTGAGAAGCGTGGAACCAGCTCTTAATTGCTGGTGTTCCCAGGTCCGCCCTGACCCAGGGTGATATCACCTGTTAGGGTCCCAGCTATAAGCAAATAGTTAACACCCAAACTGGGGTCGAAATACCATGAAAGTGTAAAAGTAGGTTTTAATACCAGAAATACTTTGTAAAACAACTATTACCACCAATAATTTTTTGAAGGAAAAATTATTATCAGCAATACTTAAAAAAAAATACCAGCAATGCAAACAGCTATACATTTTTGAAAAAAAAAATTACCAGCTATACATTTTTTTGAAGGAAAAATATTTCCAGAAATATATTTTTGAAGAAAAATATTACCAGCAATACATTTTTAGGGAAAAAATATTACCAGCAATAAAAAATTTGTCGGCATTAAATAATCCATTGAGGTTGATAAGCCGTAAAACAAAACCAAAAAGCAAAACCTAAAGTTGTGCATATATTGGCCCGTAAAAGATTTCGTTAATCAAAAAATAAAAAATCAATCTAATCGCTTGACGCAGAGCTTTTAGATTAATTGGAAATTAAATGGGGAAATTATTAATCTTAAAATTATCTGTGCCCTAATTTTTTATTTTAATCCGGATTTTTTTCTCGACCTTGGTGCTTACCGTTTTTTGTTTGTTTGTTTTTTGTTTGGTTTTTGTTGTTTGTTTTTTTTCATTTCTGCAGACCGTTTAAAAAATATCCTTTAAAGCCGAGTAAAGCAAAATTAAAAGTTTAATACGATATAAAAAAAAAAACATCAATGTTATATTCACTTAGTTTGTGTATAGATAGACATGAACAGAATAAGCAAAATCTTTACCTTCACCACTTGAGGTAAAGTAAAATCGTGCTTTGCCAAAGGAAGCACTGCTTACTTCCCTCAAAGATAAGCAATTGAAATTCTGATTTGTAACCTGTCTGCACTGGAACTGGCAATGTCAGTGGAAAATGTGAGACCAAGAAGGCGCAATGGGTCGTTCTCCAAGAGGTTCGCATCAGACATGCTAATGGAAAGCAAAAAAAAAAGGTTCTCTATGGTGATTAAGTAAATGATACCAGTTTAGTTTGATTACTTCTTTCTTTCATTCATGTATATTTGGGTAACAACGTTTCTTTTAAACATATTTCGTTGAATATGACAAAGAAAATTTAGATTTTTTTTATTTATTTAGTTTTTCTAATATTCTTGCATTTTTTTTCCGTTTGGTGGGCGGTAAAGGAGACGACCATGACAAGAAATTAAAACCCTAACCCTAACCCCTTGAAAATCGCTAAAATAGCCGAAAGTGCTTGAGACAATAGTAAAAATAACGGACAATTTTCATACTCATTTAACCCCACCAAACGGAAAAATGTCAGAATATTAGAAAAACTAAATTTTAAAAATTCATCAATTTTTTTTTCTTTTTCTGTAATATTCAACAAAGCACATATATTTATGCATTATTGATTTTTAAATACGGTCAAAAAGAATTCTCTGTAGCGAGTAATTGTTTTTGTCCGTGTGTATAAAAAAAAACTACAATAAATAATTATTGCTCTACTCTTGATATTGAGCCATTTTTTTTAATTAATGCTGTGAACTATAGAATTTATATTTTCGTTCTCATTACATTTGAATAATATATATATATATATATATATATATATAAAATGTTTGAATTTCTAGAGTTTTCATAAAATTAGTTATGGAGTGGGGGTAACCTGTAAAAAAAAAAAAAAAAAATTACATGACTTTCAAAAAAATGAACATATTTAAAATAATTTCAATCATTTGTGAATAGTTTCATTAAAATTCGACATTTTTTTATTTTTTTTATTTTTACAAGATTTTCCAAATTAATGTCTGTCCCTACAAAAAATGCGCTAAAATTTGTTGCTATTAGTGACGCAAATAGATACAAAAAATTTTAATCAAAAGTTAAAATGTTCTAATGGATGGAAAAATTTAATAAAGTAATCAAAAAAATACTTTGGTCTTTCCTCTTAATAACATGAACATTTTGATAAAACTTTGTGTTCAAGTTTAAGCCCGTTTTTATCATGCTATGCTCTATTTTTTAGTGAAATATAATGTCGATTAAAAAATAATACATAATATCTAATTGTGCGCCGTACACCTTGTTTTGTTCTTGTCATTCCAGAACCATTTAGCCGAAGCAATGTTGTCATTGCATTTGGCAAAGGGGCCACAGAAGAATACCAGAACTTCAATCCACTTCACGGAAAAGTTCAATATGGGAAATTGTTTCCAGACTCGACAGAACATCCATTAATCCAGGTGAGACAAATTCTTTCAGTTTCAAGAATTAAAACCAGGAGAAGCAGGAGAAGACTACAAAACGAAATCAAGTTCTCCACAAATATTTTCTCTGGTGTTCTCTCTAAAATTTATTTTAGGGTGAACTCCAGGCGAAGAGTTTCTTTTTTTTTTTTTTTTTTTTCAACAATCTCTTGTTTCGTTAACTCAAACAAAAAGCCCTATGAATATCCACCTTTGTGGTATAATTAATAACGTAAATTTAATTTTTTTTATAATTTTTTTTTCTTAATATTTTAATTAATACCGAATATTCGTTTTAATTTCCACGATTAATATTAGATTTTTTTACAGTAGGAATTAATCGGTTAAGAAGAATACTGGCTTAAAATCCGTCCTCATGTGTCACTAATATCGGTCAATAAATGTTTACAGAGCTTTCTTATACTGGCTAAGATAAGTGCATTATTCCTACCATCATCGGTCGGTGTTCAATCCCAAGTAAAAGTCAGTAGTTCGAATGCCGATTTTCAAGACAAACAATTCCTCCCTGTTTGTAAGCACAGAACCCCAAACGATCATCCTATTTTTCTATCTTTGTAGCAGACCGAGCTGCGCTACCTAAAGCCCCCAACAAAAACCGGTCAGTCTACTTAAGTATGTGATCTACCTTCTGAGTCCGATCTTCCAGAAGAACAAATATATCTGATCTCTGAGTTGAGAAAATTCTCTGCATTAAAAATTTAAAATATACATTAGAATTAGACATATACAGTATAAGAGAAATATTTTGTTTAACATACTAAACAAATAATACCATATGATAAAAAAAAACTAAAAGAAATAATTATTTTAACTAATACCAACACTATTTGTAGACAGTTTGAACATCATTCAGAAATGCAATAAATATGAAAAAAAAATAGGTTTGGTTTCTATAGAAAATCCACCGGAAGCTTTCATTCAGTGTACTCCTTAGATACTACTTTTAAATAAAGTTGCGCATGAAGACAATTTTCTTTTAAGGCAAATCACATATTTAAGAAGAATTAAGCACGTAGATTGCATACTTAAGTAGCACCGAAAGGTCTTACTGTGTTCAAAATTATTTTCGGTAATTTTAAAATACATTCATTACATTTCTCCTGAGCAAGCCGACAGAAAGACCATGTAGCGTCATATTTTGTTGGCTGTTGAGTATGAAGCACAAATTTGTAATGACTTTATATTCTTTTTGACTCGATTGAAATTCCTATTGTATTTTTATTTTTGTTCTCCACAGAATAAGTATTTCCTTGTAGCTGACCGTGAAGTGGACATGGATGGCCGGCTGTTGCATGAAGCACATAATGCTCAAGTCTACCAGAAGTTGTCCCACGCACCCGTTTATGGGATAGCCCAACCAAACAAAGATGAACTGAAGAAATTATTAGACTCCTTTCAAATTCCAAATACAGCAGTAAGTTTTTACGACCTCGTTGCGCAATGTCATGTTTTATTGGGCAAGTCAATGTCTTCAATATTAAATTTGAATGAATCTTACTTTATTCACTTTCATTTCTCAATTCAGACAACTTCTTTCGAATATGGCTCTACGGCCGTGAGTTCCTTTTCACTTTACAACCAAACAACAGGAAAATGTATTCAAACACACACACACACACATATATATATATATATATATATATATATATATATATTGAACAATAAAGAAATTAAAAAATTAAAATCTTTAGACACACTGGGTTGTAGATTAATATTCTTTCGTTTTTTTTATTATTTCATTTAGATTCCTCGACTAGTTTCGACCCAAATGGCCATCATCGGGAGGAAAAATATTTCTGCTTGCTGTTAGCACTAAACTACAGAAATGAGTCTTTTGTTGGAGAAAATGAACTTTTGTCTGTAGTTTTCATTTGTTTTTTTATTTTTTATCTTTTTAACATGAATCTTTTAACATTCCTTGTGTTAGTCAAACAGTCTCTTTTAAGTTGTTATTTGAGATAAGAGCTGGATAGATCCATGCTGCTCTGAATTCTCTGGTCAGTTTGACAGTTTTATTGGACCTGGTGAGGGGATGTGTCTCTGTTTAGTGTTTGTGTGTGTGTTATTTGGTTCTTAGGGAGTGAGTGAGTATATGTGTAAGCGTGTGTATTGCTGTGGGTGTGTGTTATCATTTGGCTCATTAGGGAGTGAGTGAGTATGATGTGTGTAAGTGTGTATATTCGTGTGGGTGTGTGTATAAGTGTGAGGCCTCAACACCTCCGTAACCATGTCTGTCTTGTGTGGGTAGGTTTTGATTTGTTGAGTTATATGTTAATACTATCTATATTGTTAAATTTATGGTTTAGCCCGGCTGGAAAGCGTGTTTTTAAATGTTGTATCCACTTATTTTCATGGGACTCTAAAATCTTTCTAATGTTATCTGCTCTGGAATTTTCTATTCTCTCAATTATAGTGAATTTGGCATGGGTTTTGAAATCATGTTTTTTCCAGGCGGAAATGTTGTTCTACAGATAATAATTTTTCATGGAGAGTCGGCTTAATTCGATTGTGATAATTATTAATTCTGTAGTGAAAGGCCATTCAGATTTTCCCACATATTGTTTCTGGCATAGTGTGCATTCTAGGAGGTAAATTATGTTATGACTTCTACGTGGTAGATTTTGAAAGTAGATTTAGTGATTGAGCTAGTGAATGAATTCGTGTTACATGGTTGGGAAAATCCTGTTGTTTTTGTTCTTAGTTTATTACGGATTACCTTGTCCCCTGAAATGTGGTTACCACCTATGATTTCTTTTAGGTTCTTAGGTCTACGATATGCAAGAAGGCCGGTTTCCTTAAACAGTTTTTTTTAGGTCTGATTTGAGATGTATTATTTCCCAGCGACGTTTGATTATTTGGGATAGTGGAGGCAGAGTGGGATTGAAAGTGGTTACTAGAGGCATGCGGCTAGATTTATTTTTAATCTTGTACATTAGGGTGTCTTCTCTAGGTGTGGACATTGCTTTATTTATTTGTTCCCTGATTAGGTGTTGTTTATAGCTACGTGTTGTGAATTGATGCTCCAGATTTTCAATGTGTTTAATTCTTCATTGTTGGAACATATCCTTCTAAGTGCTTGTGAATAGGGGAGGTTCTCTTTGAGGTGTTTAGGGTGGGAAGACTTAAAGTGTAGATAGTTGTGGGTGTCGGTGATTTTAGTGTGTAATGTCGTTTGTAGTTTCCTGTTTTCATCTATGTAAATGCGGGTGTCTAAAAATGTTACTGATGTTGTGGATTTTTCATAGTCAAACTTAATTGAGTCGTGCACTGTGTTTAGGGTCATAAGGAATCGGGTAAGTTTGTCATCACTACCCGTGTATACAAAGAATATATCATCGATATATCTTGCATAGAAACGCAGTCGCTACCAATGATTGGATAGATATGGGTCTCCTCAAATTTTCCTATGAATATTGTAGCTGCAATGGTGCCCATGGCACAACCTCTTATTTGAAGGTAGTGTGTTCCATTGAAGTTGAAAGTATTCAATGTAAGGACATGCTCCATGAGTTTTATGATGACTTCTGTGGGGGGGGGTCTTGTTTTCTTATTTTAGTAAGTGCTTCCTGAAGGGCGGTTAGCCCATGGATGTTTTTAATGTTTGAATAGAGTGACCTAACGTCCATAGTCACTAGAATAGCATTCTCTGGTACGGTTTGTATGTGATTAATTTTGTTCAGTAGATCTGTTGTCTGTGATATAGGATTTTACTTCCTTAGCTAGCGGTTGTATGTAATTGTCTATGTATTTGGAAATTTTTGTCGTGTGGCAGTTGAACGATGAAATAACCGGCCTTCCTGGGTTGTTGCTTTTGTGTATTTAGGAAGGAGATAGAAACGAGCAGGTGTAATGTTTGTGGGTGTAAGTGCTGTGTGTGTTTCCTTGTCTATTAGATTGTTGCGAAGCATTATGTTTAGTGAGCTAGTTAATTCTTTTTGGTATTCTGGAAGGGGATCTCTAGGTATGCTTTTATAGGTTTCTTTGTCGGCTAGCTGTTTGTTGGCCTCTTTAATGTATTCTTCGATTCCCCAGATCACTGTGGCACCCCCTTTGTTAGCCTGTGTTATGATTAGGTCATCTCTGTGTCAGCGTATCGAGGGCCGTACGTTCCTCTTCAGTAATATTGTCACGTGGCAGCTTACGTGCTATTGTTTTCTTTGTCATTTGCTACGGCTAGTTCAAATGTCTGTATAGTAATGTCTGTATTTTGTGGGATGTAGGTAGTGTCCTTCTCTTTTAAAGTCTCAAATATGGAAGGTGTATGATCATTTTCCCCGTAGTGGGCTTTTAACCGTATTCTTCTGAAGAAGGATTTCAGGTCCTTTGCCAAAGTGTCTTTATCAAACCTTAGGGGACTAGGGCAAAAGCTTAGTCCTTTATTTAATACTCTGAATGTATTGAGTGAAAATTTATTGTTGCTCAAATTTATAACTCGTCCGTATGGGTCAAGTTTGAATTTACAAGCATGACGAAGTTCTTTTGTAAAAGCTCGAATCATATCTCCTATTAGGGATGCTATACCCCCATCCAGGTGTCCTGGTTGGGAGCTTATTCCGTTTTTTTTTTTTTTTTTTTTTTTTTTAAGGTTGAGTGTGTTGTTAATTGTCTACTAGGGGCTAATCTAGCTGGTCTGGGATGTCTAATGGGGTTATGCATTCTGTAGAAGGGCTGCTGTGTTTTGGTTTGTGTATATTTGTACGGCACCCTAAGGATGTCCGCTTAGGTTAGTGGTTTGCTTTGTGTTTGTTTTGATGTTCTAGCTATCGTTGATGGTGGCGGTGTTGTTATTGTTGGTGGTGGTGCTGGCGGTTGTTTGTTGGTGTATTTATTTGGTCTGTTTTGTGTTTGCATTGGTTGTGTGGTGGTCAGTGTATTTGCGGTGTGTTGTTGTTTTCTTTTGGGGTATAGTCATTCACTTTTTTCAGAGTTTGGCTTCATTTCTCTTTTGTTCCTCTGTCTGGAGGAAATATTCCATTTTAATTTTCTTTGTTTTTCAGTTTTTGTTTTTTTGTAGTTCCCTCACTATTTGGTCTGTGTGAGCTTTTATGACATTCTTTATGTTGGTATTTTTTCCGTGACCGTTTGTTTTTTTATTTTCTCATCGAGCAGGTTAATTTCTGCTGTTGTTGCCATTATGTTTTCCTGGCAGAACTGCATGGTATCCTGCATGAGTTCCCTGGAGAAGTCTTCTAATTTACGGTACCATGGTGCTAGAAATGCATCATTGTGGTTACCTATTGAAGGTTCCAAATCAATCCTGAAATTAGTCGGTACTAATTGATCCTTCAGGCATATCCTAATATATTCCTGGTGTGATTCATACCTGGCTAATTTGTTGGTTGCTCTATTCATACGGATAGCCAATAATTCTGTGTTTATTGGTTCTGTTGGTGTTCTGTCCTCGGCATTTAGTTCCGTCCCGTGTCCATTATTCATGATTATATTTTGAACAATAAAGAAATTAAAAAATTAAAATCTTTAGACACACTGGGTTGTAGATTAATATTCTTTCGTTTTTTTTTTATTATTATTATTCCATTTAGATTCCTCGACTAGTTTCGACCCAAATGGCCATCATCGGGAGGAGAAATATTTCTGCTTGCTGTTAGCTAATATATATATATATATATATATATATATATATATATATATATATATATATATATATATAATAATGTGTGTGTGTACATACAGAAAACACTTTCATCAACGAACTAATGGGTAATCCGTTAAAACCGATTGTCCGTAGATGGGAAGGGATTATTTTTAAGTTATAAAACCGCTAAAATACAACTCGTTCCACTAAGCCCGCAAATTTTGAAATACATCGCTGACAATTTGGAAGATTTTTCTTGCAGATTTTTTTTATTTTGCCAGGAGATTTTGTCTGTTGCATACAAAGCCCGTTGATGAGAGAGTGCGTAGATGAGAATTTTGTCTGTTTTGTAAAATGCTTGTTGATATAACGTAATTATTAAATTCATTTTTAAATTATATATTTATAATAATTATATAATTTATATAAAATTCATATCAATATTCAACCAAAATGTACCTGTTTAAATTTTATTGGGTTTTTTTTCCAAATTTAATCAATTTATAGTTAAAATGTTCTTTTTTTTTCTTGTGGGAAGATCATTTTTGTATTTCATGGATACTCTCATAGAAAAAAAATCATTTAAACTTGCGATAACATCCTTTATTTCAATGTTGAAACACAAAATCCTGAAAATACCTCTGACAACTATACTGAAAATACAAAATTAATCTTTCCTTAGAAATGCATCAAAAATTTAATTAAAATTGGAAAAATACGAAAAAAGATTGAACAGACACTTTGTCAGTTCACTTTCATGGAAATGCTTTCGGAAAAGGGATGAATCCAACTCTTCTCTTTTCCCATTTATGGGGGAAGTCATAAGGTAAACTGCTCTCTCTAACCTTGGAGGGCAACCAGACTAAGAAGAAAAACGGGTTTTTAAATCATGGCAAAGTCAGCAGGAAACCACTCTACTAGCTTTCTTAAGAATGGTGTGCAATTCACAAATAAAAAGAAAAGGAAGTCGTGGAGAGTCCAGATCGCCTACATCCTGAAAGGACAGGTTTAAGATATATGTGCATATGTAATTATTTACTTTAGTGTGTGTGTGTTATTGACATGTATGTCATTGGTGTATCCTCCTATACTAAATCTTTCATCTTTTCTGGACAGATTGTAAATGGCAACATTTTTTTTCTCTTCAGATTTTATTGGTCAATTTACGTGAAGAACCAGTTCTGTTTCTTTCCGGAGATGAATTGTCTTCCAATACAGTTACATTTTCCATTCGGGAGAAGGACAAGTTACAGTCATTCATTGTTCATGGAATCACAGCCAAACATGCCAGCCTGAACGAAATCGCCATTCGAAAAGAGGTAAAATCAAAATAAGTAATTGTTAATCAACCCAATTAATTCAATCAATTAATTGAATGACAGTTTTTAATCCATTAATCCCAGTGTAATTTTATTACTTTAAACCTCAAAAGTATTTTATCTTTCCGTTCTGTGTTTATCCATTTGATTCCTAATTTTGATGCTTTTAATCAGCAGATTACTTTTATCCACTTAATTATTTTTTTAGACTTTTTATTGAAAATTCCAGGATAATCTCTTAATTTACCCAGAATATTAAAGAAAAAATTTATTTATTACAAATTTCATTTTTCCTTTTCATCTTTCTTTTGAGTTTTCTTTACAAAAATTCAAAATCTTTTATTTTAAAAGCTGAAAGAAAAATTTCAGAGAAATATCTAAATTCTTAGAGTTGTTCCCCATCTTTTTGCTTGTCAGCTTTAGGATCTGCGTAAAAAGAAGGAAGACTGGAAACATGCATGCTCTAAATCTGAAGAGGTTAGCTCTCTTTCACCTCGAACCAAGATCGGGATAGGATGCTAAAATTAGTGCCTCATGACATAGATGCGCATGTCTTAGACTCTACACCTCACTGACGCTTTGCTTCACCAACAGTCTTATGGCTCAATCGCATTGAAACACTAGTTCCTGTACGTTCACTGACGTTAAGCAATGTTGAGCCTGGTCAGTACCTCGATGGGTGAATACCAGCTGCTGCTTCCTCCAGAATAAACATTTCTATCTCTATTTATTTCACTCTTTCGTTTGTCGGTTTTCTCAATCAACCTAGCACTTTTATTTTTGTTTGTCGACACCAACACTTTCTCAGCTTCAAACGACGACCCCTAATCTAATAGCAATACCTGTTTACGGTTCACTCTTTGGTAATTTTTTTGGAAGACACTTTTGGATATACGTAAAAATATACTTATTATTTAATACGAACATTTGTTACAGTGTTAAACAGAAAATATTTTCATCACAACGTAAACAATATCAACAAACAATATGACAATTAAATTTCAAATATCTGGAGGACTCCTGGCCCTTGTCTACTACACGTCAGCCATATTGACGTTCAGAATCATTTGAGGTAGTAGATATGTTCAGAAGTTGTGGATGACAAAAATGTTTGAATTGTCAAAGTTCATTGGTAATCCTTCATAAACATTTTAAGACTGACAGATGAGGCCTCATAAAATTAGAAAGGTTCCATCAATGCTAAAAGAAAATGAATTCTTGGAATCTGTGGGAGAATTTCCTACTGAACAAAAGGGACTGTTTTACAGTCTTTGTGTAGGTGACTAAAAAAAAAAATGAAAATGTTGTCTGGTAACTAGAGATCTATTGTCCAGACACACTTCCTCATTGTATTTGTGGTAGGATTTTGATTACTAGAAACTTTGAAATTTTTATTTTGTTGAGCGTGAGGAGTGAGTCCTTTGGTATTCGGCATAGCAAAAAGTTTGTTAATAATGTAAATATTGGTAGCAGTCTGGAAAAATGTCTGCTAGTGGTACTTTGATGACAGACCATGATAGCGGTAGTAGTAATCTTAAAAATAGGTCAGTGTCAATCTATTGTATTTTTCTTAGCCTTAAGCAGGACAGAAAAAGGATTAATTGCTTCTTCACACATTACGCATATCTGGTTTCCACACAGTAGCATCTCTGTTCCTGCTCTCGCCATATTTTCTGCTTTTATCTTAGAGGTGTCAGTTTATATTTGTTTTGACTAGGCTCCAAGATTCTGGTAGGAACTTTGGATTTAGCAAACATCAAAACTTTAAATTGTTTTGATTGGCCCAAATTATTTTATTTTCCAGCGTTCCTTTTTTTTTTTTTTTTTTTTTTTAACAGAAGTTATACGTGGAGTCTCCCTGATTTTTAGTACTTTTAAGTGAGCTCTGATCTTGCAAACTTCCGATGTTTTTCGGCTGGATTCAGTCTTCTTTTTTTCTTTTTATTTGATGGCGGCTTTCTCATTATTTAAGAGAAGCATAGAAAGAGAAGTTCAGAGAGAGATAAAAAAAAAAGAAAAAGGTTTTTTTTTTTTTTTTTTAAAGAAAGCACAAATACCTTATTTTAATTCTTTTTATTTGTTTATATATTTTAATTTTATCATGACTCACAACATATTTATTGGCCAATGTCGATCATTGTTGATATTAATGTGACATTAATTTCCTCACTGGGTACAGAAAACCTTTTTACCATTTTTATTCTTTGGCCTCTATTGGCTTTCATTCTTTTCTTCATTCATTTTGTTCTTTTTCATTCTCTTTTTTACAAATATCTCTTTGGTCTTTTTTTTTTTTTTTTTTTACATCCATCTCCTTCGTTCATTTTTTTTTTTTTTTTTTTTTACATACATCTCCTTCGTTCATTTTTTTTCATATGTTAACTCTCTTATCCATTTCTTCATTCATAAACTTCCTCATTATTTTTTCATTCATTTTTCTATTTTTTCTTCATCACTTCTTTATTTTTTCATTCATCATCATCTTTCATTTTTCATTCATCTCTCACATTCTTTATCTGTTTCCTTTTCTTCATTATCACTTTTCTTCTTTACATTTTTATTCATTCATCATTTCCTTTTCTCATTATCTTTTTTGTCATGTTCTTTCTTTTCATTACTTCTTTCCTTTCATTTTTTTCCAATCATCTTTTTCCTTTTCATTGATCCATCTCTCTTCCTATTTTGTCCATCGTCAACAGGTGCTTAACCATGCTGCCATGGAAGAGAGCAGCAAATTCTGCTTCTACAACAGTTTGTCAAATGCCCAAAAAGAACCGCACAAATACAGTATCTTGTGTGAAGATTTCCTTCTCACCTCAGACGAGATTTATCATCAACTTCAGTTTGAATATCAAAATCTCAAGTAAGGCCAATTTGTTTTCGTTACATCAAAAACAAAATCTATTCACTTTTCAGATCTTTTTAATTCAATTTTGTTTACTTAAATTTCTTACATGAAGTATTTGACTATTTTTGACTTGTATTTCTTTTAATTTATCTTTTTCCCAATTTTGAGATTTTTTTTTTAATTTTATGATTGTTCGTAAGTTACATGGAACAAAATCTTAAGAAAACGCCTATAGTGAGATTTGAATTTATGTCCCTAATTAATGCAAGTCTGCCTGTACAGATGAATAATCAACATAGACTAACAATTGGAATATCCATTTCTGTACTTTGTTCAGAAGAAAATGTTTATTAACAGGCAGCTATTTCTATTTTAAATTTGGCATCCATGTTGATTCCATTTCCCATCTATATTTGACCTATGTCTGATTTTGTGGATTATCTGCTCAAGGTTGTGGCTTTTGACTGTTTTTTATGTTGTTTTATAAAGTTGACTTATAGCCATATCACGTTTAAACACAGGTTGCTGTATGATCACATTTGTCAAGCCTGGTCAGTACTTAGATGGGTAACCACTTAGGATTACCAGGTGTAAATCTTGGATGTGCGGGTGGTGTAATGGATAATGACTTGGAATTGTTAACCAGAGAGAGAGAGAGAGCTGAGTTCCAATTCCAATTTGGTTTGTTATATTCACTTACACACAAAATCTCATGGAAAAGATATTTATCCACCTCTTCAATCCCCAACTTTGTTTCAATTTGGAAGACTTGTATCAGTAAATCATTATTATCTACGCCCACCTCACAAAAAAAAAAAATTAATAAATTTTAAATATATTTCCTGGCTTTAAATAACCTGCAAAGGGTTAAGCTGTAGAAAATGGCTCAATCAACCAATTAAGATGAGGATAATAGAAAAAAAATATTGAATATTAAGATCTTATCTCAAACCTTGAGAGACAAAAATCTTCATTAGAGGAAAAAAGAACTCCCCCTATCCTGGATATAGGGGATGTTTGTGGGACAATGTAAAATTCTCAGCTTGGCCAAGCATTAAAGGGAAAAGATTCTTTGTTGGGCCAAGAAATTTTCAGCACCTCTTTATATTAATGCAGTGAAGGAAAGCAATCTGCTTCTTTATCAACAAAAGAATTTAACCCTATAAAATAAACTTAAATTTGAATATAGTCATAAGTTTTTTTTTGTTTTAGTTTTTTTTTTTTTTTTTTTTTACCAGACTAACAGACAAGCCCAAACACTAAAAATCTTCCTTTCATTTGATTTTGACATTCTGTCCATCCATACAATTCATTAGATTCTGCTGTTTTAACCATCCACATAATCATGCTTTATAAATTGTTAGCAAGAAAACAAAGCCAATTCACTTTCAATGTTGATTGTGATGTCTTTCTCTTTTGTAGATGTAAACGGGTTTGTTTGCCATTGTATGGAGCACCAACTGAAAAACAATTTGATGATTTCATTGCTATGATGAAAGTAAGTTCTCTCTTCTCTTTGTCTTGCTTGTTATTTGCTATTCATATGAATTTGCACAATTATATTAATACTACTATCTGGGCATCTGTCCATATTTCTAAGATGAGGTATTTAACTATTTACATTATTTACATTGTTTGGGCTGTTGTCCTCATCTTCGTTGTCATATTCACAACGTTTCGGCTGTTGTAGGCTCCGGACTTCTTCAGCTGATTGTAATTTCAATTTATTTTGTCCACCGGGGTAGATTCTTCTAGTTCCACGTGTCATGCCTCTTCCAGAAGTCTCAGTATCAGTTATCCCCCTTATCACAACTCTCCAAGGTTTTGTTCACCTCTGCTGTAAATAGTGTAAATATCTATCTGGACAGTTTAATGAGCGACAATAGAAAATACAACACCAATTTGAAGGGCACACACCTGGAAATTTGAAGAGCACACATCTGGCAAAAGTGATAGAAAATAATTTAAAATACAGGAGAGGGACAAATTCCTACGCAATGAAGTAATCTACTCGTATATCAAATTTTTAAATGCAGGACAATTACATCACAAAAAAAAAAAAAAAGTTGAATCAAGAGAGACGTTGGGAATAATATGAACAGAGCATGTGAGAAATGAGGAAGTTTTAAGGAAATAGAGAAGAACAAAGAAACTTTCATTATCTGTCTTGCTGGTTTATATCACTCTGTCTATCAACCTATCTATTAATCTTGTTTGTATCTGCAATAGAATTTTCGGTCTGTTTCTGCTGTGCTATGAATATGTCTATAACAAAACACGATATCCTTTCCACTTTCAATATCAATTGTCACATACTTTCAAGTTTTCCCTAATAACAAAACATTTTCCAGATATTTACATTTTTTTTTAATTATGTGTTGCGGATTTGAATCGACCCACAACAAAGAAAAAGTTGTTTAAATATAAAATAATTTTATCTTCGTGTTTGTTTTTTGGTTTTGTTTTTTGGTTATTTTGGGGGTTTTTTTTCAACTAAATTTTTCTTAGTGTATGAGAGTTAAAGTTCTTGTTTGTTGAGATAAAAAGGAAAATTTGATTTCTTTGCTTGTAAGTGTGAAAAAGAAGAGGCAATGGAGAGAGTGAGGAGGAAGAGTAAGTGTCACGTAGATTGGTAAAGGAGAATGTAATTGTCACATAGCTTGGTGAGGAAGACGGTTGAATGAATAAAGGAATGTTCTTTTAAACCACATCGATGTGAAACTGTTACAATCTGTATCTCCTTACTGGCCTGTCTGGTCTAGAAACTTTGCTCATATAACCTTCAAAGGGATCACAAAAAAAATTTGAAAAATGTTAAATACTTATTTCCAAAGTCTTGAATAACTGAAGGATACACAAATCCTGTAACTTAAAAGCCATTTTTCTGTCTGTTGGTGTTTTGACCGTCTTGTATTATCGTCTTTGCTCCACATCTGAATGAAAGAAATTGATGTGAAATTGATATTTCTTTTATAAATTTCCTTGAATTTGTCTTCTTTTTTTTTTTCCTAGGGAGATATTTATGATGGAAAGTCTAAAATGCAGATGCACACTATTTTTATTTGTCACAATGGCCGTGAACGAAGTACATTGGCGATGATTATGAGTGGCCTGATGTATGGGCACATTTTTGGATTTCCACACGAAGTCAGGTAGGCAATTAGAGGAAAAATCTGTCAATTTAACAAAAAATGACAGTTTTTCTCTTGACCAGTAGCTCTCAGTAATTTCATTGTTTTAAGACTATTTTTAACATTTTTAATAAAACCCAATGGAACTGGATTTATAAATTTCCTTTTTCCTCTAGAATTGACAACACAAGTATTAAACTTTATTCTTGCAAATAAACAGCCTAATAAAATTTTTAACATTTTTCATGTTTATTCTCGGAAAAAAATATAAATCCAGATGCTCGCAAACTATATTAATGAATTTATGTGACAAGAGCAAATGATGAAAATGCCAGGAAAATACTTTTTTTTAAAATTTATAATTACAATTATTTGTAGCTACATGTTTATTTAAATTTTCTTGTTCACATTTTTTATAAATTTATGTATGAAACAAAACATTGTTTTCACAGTTATTTCTTTAAAATGGTAAATAATAAACATTGCAGAGTCTGTCTAATGTAAATAGTCCGACTAATGTAAATACTGTAAATAAACATTGCAGTTAACATATTTTTATAATCGTGGAAATATAAAATTATGCTTGTAAATAAAGAATCTAATAAATAGTGTTTAACATCTTTGTTGTCACATCATGAGAAAAAAGTGAATGCATGAATCCAATTTGTTTGGGCTTTATTAAAATTCTAAAAATAGGTTTTTAAATTAACAAAAAATACCAAGGGACTATAGAGCAACAGTCAGGAGAAAAACTGTTGAATAACAAAAATATAATTTTTTTTTTTTTTTTTTTTTTATAAAAAATCTTTCCTAAAAATTTCTTTTGTAGACATTCCACAAATTAACAAAAAAAAGCATAATTTTCTTATTTCATCCTTTTTAATGAAAAACAAATGAAAAATATGTCATTTTCATTTGAAACACAACTTGTTATATCAGACTGCATTCAATTTACTTTTCAAAAAATAATGATATAATCTACTTTTTTAAACATAATTCTTTTTTTTACCCCCACCAGTAGTAGGTGTAAAAAAAAATGTTTCATGTGAGTTGAAACCTTGGGACAACACAACAGGAATTTGGGCCAATTTATCCAAACATAATCACATTGTAAAATGATATTTTTCACAAGCAAAAAAGTCATTAAATTTAATACATACAAAATGTCTATTTTTAGCACACACACACACACACACACACACTTATATATCTATGTTTGTGTGAACTGTAATGTGTGTGTGTGTGTGTCTGTGTGCGTGGCATCCCAAGGAAGATGCAGGGAAGAATTTATTTATCCTTCCACTACAAACAAACACCAACCTACACAATCATAAATAAATCCAAAATTTAAAAATTAATCAGTTAGACAAAGGACGTGAAAACCAGGGTCACAAACTCACATCAATGCAACTAAATATATATATATAATATATAATATATATATATGAGGAAACTTTCAAGGATTCTCTCCCTTCCACATCAAATATCCTCCAATCAACATATGAACACTACCAGAAACAAAGATGCCCACTAGACACACACATTATCACCCAAGACCAACTAGAAATATGATACACTCGATCATCTTTGGAAACTTCACACATAGACACTGCCAGACTGATACAAAAATGCCCACGAGAATCTAGACATGCGAATACAAACACCATAAGACACACAAACACCAGAAGACACACAAACACAAGACACACAAACACAAGACACACATGAACACCCCAAGAAAAAGAAAATTGAGGTCTGCAAGAGCAATGAAAAACAAACAACTAAAACCATTTTCTCTTCCATAATACATTTAAAAAAATTCTGATGAAGCTTAAATAAAGGTGAAACTAAATTTCCTGTTTGTTCCTTATACTACAGTCATTTGGATTTATATATATGAGTGAACATTGAAGTCAACACTCAGAGGCGTCAGGCTGTTCCATGCTAGACGTAATCGTCAGGCCACTAGTGTTGGAGTTTTCCTCAACTAATATATATATATGTCGGTGGTGCATTGTGGGTAATCCATTTTGGCAGGAATGGCTTGTTTACTTATTTATTCATTTGGGTTAATTTATTTTACTTGTTTTGTCTTTTCATTTTTTATTTTATGTATTTATTTATTCTTTTCGGTTTCTTATGTTTTATTAACGATGTAAAAATTTGGGGGGGATTTGCTTAGGTCGCTTATTTTACTTGTTTTTGCTTATTTATGTTTATTTTTATTATTTCTAATGGTTATTTTAGCGTAATTATATTTGTAATTTGTTCATTTATTTACTTATTTATTTTGGATTTTTTTCTTTTTATTTGCTTATTTTTTATTTATTTTTTTATTTATTTTTTTTATTTATTTTTTTATTTTGTATATTTTTATATACACTATTCGGTTTTCGATTTTGAGTAACGTAATTTTCTATTGTCATATAGCAGTTATAGCCATTTTCTCATCCAATTTTTGGATTGATGAAGTCTATTCTAACGGTTATTTTGGCGGGATTGGTTTGTTGATTTGTTTATTGTTTACTTTATTTATTCGGATTGATTATTTTTACTTGTATTTTATCTATTTTCTATTTTTATTTGTTCTATTTCGTCTATTTTAACAAGAGTGGTTTGTTAATTTGTTTATTTGCTTGGGTTAATTTATTTTACTTTTTTATATTATTTCGTTTATTTTTGTTTATTCTTTTCAGTTTTTGATGTTTAAGTAACGTAGTAAAAGTTTGCTTTTGTGTCTACATTTTGAGATGAGCTCAGATCGTTTATTTAGTAATTTATTTTGGTCTGGGAAGATAATAAGTTATTTTTCCCTCCAAGCAAAGTTTGCAGTTTTTGATTGATTGTTGTAGGCTGATCTATTTCTTATTTTCCATGATATTTTTGGTGTGATTTGAAATTATGCACACAAAGCATCTTTCACAAATAGTAACTGACTCCGAAGTGGTTGCTTCCCTGATCACTACAATCCTAACCTGTTCAAGTCTCGGATTATCTTCCACACATAACTGCATAAAGTTTGCCTCTGTAACTCTCTACTTTGAGTGGTCCTTGGGCCTTGTACAGGGTGAACACTACTGTTAAAAAAAAAGAAGAAAAAAAGCACTCCAGTTAACTTTGCTAGTGTTTATAAATTATATAAAGTCTGTTGTAGGCAATTCTTTTTATCATACAGATTAACTTTTGCTAAACTGGCGCTTGCTTAATTGAACAAATAATTATATATTTGCCTTTCAACCACAGAGGTCAGTGATTAAGGTCAAATAAAAGACAGTAGTTTAAATCTAGTAAAATATGAAAAGGTTGCTTGATTGTTTTTGTTCAGTCACATATCAACGCGAATGGGTAATTTAATGCTGAAATCTAAATATGAAAATATAAACTTCATAATTAATTCAAGAGAATGATATTAGTTCATGATTAAATTATAATTACTGAGCTGCATTTTTCCACAAAAATTAAACAGGGAGTGAAAATTTTGTTTCTTCTTACAAGAAATGAGATTAATCATAGCAAATCGTCTTTTTTTTTTTTTTTTTTTTTTTAACTATAAAGATGTATTCTTGGTAATTTTTTATAAAATTATTTTTTCACAATGTCTGCCATGTTTACAATTTTACTATAAAATGTATTGCTAGTCAATTTTATGATAAAAATGTATTTTAATACTTGTGCCTTTATTTTTTCCATTATTTGCTAAGAGGTTAAAATCTAAAAGGTGCTAGCTACAACACCAGTTCAAGGTGGATCTTGGAACAGCAATAAAGAGGTGGTTCCATGCTCCTCAAAACTTCCATTCTCCCAAACAAAGGCCTTGCTGCCGGATGTAGTTTGTCATACCTGGAACTAAAACATGAAAAGGGGTCAGGAAAAAAAATTGCAGATATATTCACTCCTCGTCCTAGAAATTCACACAGAAAATTTTTGATATTGTTTAAAATCTGTGATCAAATAAAAATCTCTACTCTAAGCTTGACACAACCTTTTTTAATTTGCTTCTCTTTTTTTTTTCTTTTTTTTTTCTTTTTCAATTGGTCATATTGGTTATGTATTGTTAGTATTTGAAACTGCAACTTGTTGTTTTACTTGTATCTACTAGGACAAGTTGTCAGTTGTTACAAGCATTCTTTTCAATTCATAGCACCATAATTAGTCATCAATGTTGGTTCCCCAGCCTTCTGTGACCATGTGCCACTTTTCAACTAAACTATGTATTGAATAAAAAAAAAATCGAGGGTTGATTTAATGAAAAAAGAATTAAAATTTGGTTTTATTTTGTGGCTCAGTTTAAACAATAAAACATCTGCTAAGTAGAAGCAACATTTTGAAAACCTGATATTCAAGTGGATTTCTTTTCTATTTTCCAGTTCTTCTCCCTACAAGAGTAACACCAAGAAGCCAAACTATGAGTTTGGTGAATTCAATGTTATTAAGATGCTGATCGCTCAACTGCCAGACGGATTAATTGTAAAACACCAGGTAAGTACTGAATTATATTCCCCCCCACCCTCCACACCTCTAGTTTTCGGAGTTACCTCCTTTGGACCATTATTGCTTCAAGGGAAGTAACTCTGTAGAACTTTCTCCTTAAATTTAGTCCAATGAAATAATTTCTGTTGTTAAAGTGGACAATTGACACACACACGGCCAAAATACACATTGTGTTCCCCAAAATTAAAATAAGTCCGTTTTCTAAATCAACATAATGAGGAAAAGAATTTGTTTCACAACTTTTATATTATTTTTTTGTCTGATGTCAAATCATTGATGAAACATGGCAAAGTAAATTTTCCGATATTAACTTATATATTCATCATTCCATCAATATTCAGATCGAACTTTACATATATATATATATTCACATATTTGTGTCTATATATATATATATATATATATATTCACATATTTGTGTCTATATATATATATATATATATATATATTCACATATTTGTGTCTATATATATATATATATATATATATATATTCACATGTTTATATATATATATATATATATATATATATATATTCACATATTTGTGTCTATATATATATATATATTCATATATTCTCTCTCTCTCTCTCTATATATATATATATATATATATATATATATATATATATATATATATATTATTCATATTTGTGTCTATATATACATTAAGAATTGGTCAAAGTCCGACAATTTATTAAAGACACTTTTACGTTTACTATTCTTTTTATAGATACAAGTATTTTAAGTAAATACTCTGTTTATAATAAACAGTATAAAGTAACATTTACCGGCCTGAATGTCCGAGAAATTTTCATAGAAAATATTCGTCCTTTGACAGGATTCGAACCTGCATCCTATACGGAACCGTCATTTACGCTGACGTGCCTTAACCGACTCGGCCACAATTGGTAGGCAAGGTCGAAGTTTATAAGCAGTAAATTCGACCTTGCCTACTGAACGCTCCTTTGTGTATATGTGTATATATATATATATATATATATATATATATATATATATATTTATATATATGTGTGTATATTTATATATATATATATATATATATATATATATATATATATATGAAGAAATATAGTTTTAAGATGTGCTATATTTATGGATAAAGTGTTCAATATCGGTGATAGAGCATGTGTAAATATAAAAGTGAACATGGAAGTCAACACTTAGAGGCGACAGTCTGTTGCATGCTAGATGCAATCGTCAGGCCATATATATATATATATATATATATATATATATATTAAAATAATAGAAAAGAACTGAGATTTATAATCCAGACTTCATAGCATTTATTTTTATTTAAAAAAAACAGTGCTCGATACAACAGTAAAGCATAATATTTTAAATGTGTTTCCATCACAGAAATTTGTTTCAAAACTGAAACGTCAATCCCAAATTTAATTATAGAAATTAAACTTAAAATCCAGAGTTGTGTTCCATTGTCAAGCGATGCTAAGAATATTTGACTAGAACAATTAGTCATAAAAATAAACATAAAACATTGGTTGCTTGATTTTATTTACCAGCATATTTACCCTCAATGGGTTTTTTTAATGCAGAAATCTAAATATTGTCTGTAATTTTACTATAAATATGTATTTTTATACTTTCATAGTTTTGTTTTTGTTTGGGGATTCACTATTTGCCCATAGCTGGGACCCTAACAGGTGCTACCACCCCAGGTCATGATGGATCTGGAAACAACAAAAATGAAGAGGTGCTTCCATACTCCTCAAAACCTCCAATCTCTTCATCAAGGGATTTGCTGCCAGATAAAAATTGTAACCTAAATAAATACTGAGTGTAAAATTTCTAAAAATCTCATCAGAAAGTTTTATCCATTCATTTCCTCTTTTTCACTCTAAGCTCTTTTCTTTGCCATTTTTTTTTCCAATGACATTTTCTGTTTGTTTTTGATTTCAATCAGGATTAATTATGACCAAATAAAAAAAAAAAAATGTCTTTGCTTTTCTCAGTGAATGACTTCAATTCTCATATTTTTTTCTTTCTTAGGTGGATTCTCTCATTGACGAATTTAAGGATATGTATAGCCTGAGGAAGGAGATCTTCAATGCCAAAACAGAGTTTGACAAACTACAAATTGCAGATCAATATGTAATTACGATTTTCTTTTCTTCTTCTGCATGGGTTTTTGTTTTCAACTGGAGATCTTGCATTATGAATGCTCTCTATTAAGCCGTACCATTCTCAGACAGAGACAAAATATTTACAGTGTTGATTGATGCAAACTATTGAAATGATGGGATATTCAGCCTTATTCCTATTTTCTTAAAGTAGGTCTTTAAGTTCAGTGTTACAGACCCCAGCGCCCCAATGATAACAGGGATAATAGTGGCCCCAGATTCTAGCAACCTCAATCACTTTGAAATTGTTGGTTTTGTGTCTTTTTTTTTTTTTTCTTTTTTTTTGACATTGATATTATGCTCACCAGGAACAGCTACATCAATGACAAATTCTTGTTTCTGTCTATATTTCTGAGATGAGCTATTATTTACACTATATATTTATTACAACGTTTCGGCCATTTTACGCTCCGGCCTTCTTCAGGTGGTTGAAATGTCAAACTGAACTCTTTATTTCGATCACTGGGGTAGACTGTTCTAGTTCCACGTTCCATGTCTAATAAATGTCAGTTATCTGTTATCTCCTGTTAATTCCCCTCTCCAAATTCTCCACTGCCTTAACCAGGTATTGAACTCACACTCTTTGGGTCCTGTCACTGGATCTAACCAACGTCTTTATCCACTGCCATGGCATGTGGAACTAGAACAGTCTACCTCAGTGAGCGAAATAAAGGATTCAGTTCAACATTCCAACCACCTGAAGAAGGCTAGAGCGTACAACGGCCAAAACGTTGTAATAAATATGGCGACAAAGATGAGGACAATAGTCCAAATAATTTTCTTGTTGTTTTATTATTATTATTACCATTATTATTATTGTTGTGTTTTTGCCTTTTCTTTGTGTAGTATGAGGTTCCCCAAAAACTTCAAACGGCAACTTCAAGAGACAAGTTTTTTTATATCAGATGACAAAGCAGATGAGTTTCCATGCAATGAAGGAGAACAAATAATATAATTGTGTTAATCGTGGTCACTTCAGGGAGAGAAATGTATGCATGATGTGAGAATAATTCATGAGTATGATTTTTTTTTTTTTAATTTTCCAGGAATTTGACCCACATTTATTTGTTACTCAAACCTTTGCAAAGAATAGTTTTTGTCTGCTCTAGCTGCAGCATCTATCAGACAACTGTTATTATTATTATTATTATTATTATTCATGCATTTGTCTGTTTCTATCAGATGTCTGTTGATTATCCCTAGATGTCTGTTAGAGATGTTCAAGATGTCCATTATCATTGATGTCAGTTGGTTATCACTAGAATTGGATGACAATAAGTTTCACGAGGTCTCCAGCACCTTCCTCAGTATCCGTTCAGATCCCAACAACATCTGGGAATTCTTAGTTCTTCCTCAAATTCCTCATTTATTCAGTCTCATCTCTGGCATCTCAGCATTTTTCCTCCATGGCAGCAGCACTAACCATTTTTCTAGGGTCTGTTTATTCTTTGACATCCTGAGGTATTCTATAATTTTTCACTCATTAAGTCATTACATCAGAAACTGATGGCTTACAATGGAAATGTTTGTGATAAATCAAGTCTCCTCAAATCTCCAACACCCTCCTTGATATTCATACTGACTCTGACACTTCTGTGGTCAAGACAATCTCATCCCATTTCTCATGCATAAATTATTTTAGTCACTACCTCATATTCCATTGCCTCTCCAATTCGAGATGTTTTTTCATATTTATGCTACTACATGTTCATATTTAATGATATGTGTTCAATAACTCATAGCATCTTTAGTTGTTTAACTCATTGAGATATCATTCATAAAAAATAAGTTCAATTTTACCAAAATAAATTCTGACACCATGAAATTTCAAAGAGGAAATATCTAGAAAAGTGACCTGAATATGTATCTATTTTCCATCACCTGCTGCAATTTAAATTAAATCTCAAGGAGTTTATTTATTTTTTTGACCTAAATTAATATGGAAGCTACACATCAAAGCAACTAACATAACCAAAATGGTGCAAATAATTTTCAACACTTGACAAGGATATTTTAACAATGTCAATTCATCTCCTGTATCATATAATCTTGATATTCACAAGCAATATCTTCATTTAATGGCAATCAACCTCACTTGGCCAACGTGATTGTATCATTCAGCAAGAAATCTCCAAAACGACACTTCACAGACCAATTTTGACGCATTCAGTCATTCACAGAACCTTTGCCATAAACTTGACAAATCCTCTTATGTAGATCAGTCGTACATTTTTACTTTCCCTAAAATAAAATAGCACATCATCAAAAATGCAGCTTATTTTTTTTCCCAACTTCACGGTTGCAAGTAATCCTTTTTTTTTTTCTCGCCTTGGACTATTTTTCCACACTTCCACCTTCTTCTGATGGACAGAATGCTGTCAGACTCTTGCTGCTCTTCTGCTAATTTTTTTTTTTCATGCAAACTACATTTGTTTGCTATATCAGTCCTGACACTGAGTTGAACCATCATAATTTGTTTCATTTTCCCTTGGTGAGTAGGAAGTTTCACATAGATAGCTCCGTCTCCGGAACTATTGCAATATGGAATAGACTCCCAAGAGGATGCTTCACTGATCACTGCAATCTTAACCTCGTGAAGTTGAGCATCAACCATTATCTATTCTATATATCCTCATAATATGCAACTATTGCCCCTACAATATACTGCCTTACAACATTCCCATTTAGTAACCGTCTACCTTGAGTGACTCTTGAGCCATTTGGGGGACAATAGTAAAAAAAAATAACTTATTTAAAAACACAAGAGTAAAACTCTCCTGCACAACATCATATTCTCCAGACTTTATCAATTGCCATCAGTCCTGTGTAGCGCTGGAACCATCAGTGCAAACAAGGATCCTATATTCTCATGTTCATGAAAGAGACCATCTTCTCTCTTGGGTGGACGTTTATATATCTACCTGTCATTTTTTTTCTCACATGAGCAAGTTCTAGGCACAGGTGGGTTGATTATAGGTTCCCATGTTGGGGGCAGCCACAGACATTGAGTGACTCTTGGATCTTCATTCCCTGGAATAGGTCATCCTTCAGGGCAACTCTCACCTTTTTTTGATCTGCAACTGAGTAGAAAGTTTATTTGGGCATAATCTGAGGTGAGCTCAGTACATACTACTGGATCATTGAAATTGTGCTTGATTAGAAAACTAAAAACAATGACAATCAGGTACAAACTTTTTACAATGGTCTAATAAATGGTGTTTCATTAAGAGGGATCAAAGTCAGCAGGAAATAAATCAGTGTTAGTGGTGAAAATTTCCCTATTGGATCATGTAATTTAAGTTATGGCAATTATGTGTGAAAAATAATATTGCCCAAATGTCTGTCAAATCTGAAAGAAAATGAAAAAAAAATCATTAGAGGCTTAAACTTTTAAAATTTAAATTTAAAATTGGTCCAGGTTATTTGAACAGCCTTTACAATTGAAACCAAACGCTCCTAATGCCATCCGACAGCAAAGAGAGAATTATCAACCCAATATTTTACATCTCTTACTGACTCTGTTTTTACTTAAGAAAATTATCATTTAGGAGTAAATTCTTTGAAAACACACTCTTTGTAAGTAATTGTTATTTGATTTCAGATAAAAACCAGACATTTAAATGCAGAATTCCATAACTCTTGGGAAATTGATGCAATGAAATGGTGAAAACAAAACATTCCAAATATCAATTAAAATAAAAATTAAAAAAATTAATTTCTGGTAATTTTTCTCTCCTTTTTCAGACCAAAGAAGGAAAGGCAAAACGAAAAATGGTGCGCAATCACCTTGAGTGCTATTTTTACCTGATTTGTTTCAATGCCTACCTGGCTGAACAAGTAAGTTGACACCTTTTTTTCTTCTTTTTTTCTTCTTTCTTTTTTTCTTTCTTTTTTTTTCTTTCTTTTTTACTTCTTTCTTTTTTTCTTCTTTTCTTTTTTTTTCTTTCCTTTTTTCTTCTTTCTTTTTTTCTTCTTTCTTTTTTTCTTTCTTTTTTTCTTCTTTCTTTCTTTCTTTTTTCTTTCTTTCTTTTTTCTTTCTTTCTTTTTTCTTCTTTCTTTTTTTCTTTCTTTTTTTCTTTCTTTTTTCTTTCTTTTTTCTTTCTTTTTTCTTTTTTTTTTTCTTTCTTTTTTTCTTTCTTTTTTTCTTTCTTTTTTTCTTTCTTTTTTTTCTTTTTTTTTCTTTCTTTTTTTTCTTCTCTTTTCTTTTCTTTCTCTTTTTCTTTCTTTTTTTTCTTTTTCTTTTTCTTCTTTCTTTTTTTTTCTTCTTTCTTTTTTCTTTTTCTTCTTTCTTTTTTCTTTTTCTTCTTTCTTTTTTCTTTTTCTTCTTTCTTTTTTCTTTTTCTTCTTTCTTTTTTCTTTTTCTTTTCTTCTTTCTTTTTTCTTTCTTTCTTTTTTTTCTTCTTTCTTTTTTTTCTTTTTTTCTTTTTTCTTCTTTCTTTTTTTCTTCTTTCTTTTTCTTCTTTCTTTTTTCTTTCTTTTTTTTTCTTCTTTCTTTTTTCTTCTTTCTTTTTTTTTTTTTCTTTTTTTTTTTCTTCTTTCTTTTTTTTCTTTCTTTTTTTTCTTTCTTTTTTTCTTCTTTTTTTTTTCTTCTTTTTTTCTTCTTTCTTTTTTCTTCTTTCTTTTTTTCTTCTTTCTTTTTTCTTCTTTCTTTTTTTCTTCTTTTTTTTTTTCTTTCTTTTTTCTTCTTTCTTTTTTTCTTCTTTTCTTTTTTCTTCTTTCTTTTTTCTTCTTTCTTTTTTCTTCTTTCTTTTTTCTTCTTTCTTTTTTTCTTCTTTCTTTTTCTTCTTTTTTTTTTTCTTCTTTCTTTTTTCTTCTTTCTTTTTTCTTCTTTCTTTTTTCTTCTTTCTTTTTTTTCTTCTTTCTTTTTTTTCTTCTTTCTTTTTTCTTCTTTCTTTCTTTCTTTCTTTTTCTTCTTCTTTTTTCTTCTTTCTTTTTTTTTTCTTTCTTTTTTTCTTTCTTTTTTTTCTTTTTTTTTTCTTCTTTCTTTTTTTCTTCTTTCTTTTTTTCTTCTTTCTTTTTTTCTTCTTTCTTTTTTTCTTCTTTAAGTAAATGATTTTCAAAGTTAGGTTTTTATTGGGGATGTTATTTTTTTTCCTCTCCAATTCAGGCATCCAGTTTGTGTTAGTAGACTGCATAATAGTGTCCAAAACAAAAGTGAAGATGAAACAAAGTGGAAAAGTTTATAAACAAAGTGTTTCACCAACATCTGTTGCTTTGACCTTCTTCAGGTCAGAATGAAAAACAAAACTCTAAGGAAAATATGTCAAGATTTTTGTGGATAAGACTGGTAATAAATGAAATTACCTTATAAGATCCAACAACCAGAGATCAGAAAATGTTTGCTTGATAAAAAAAAACAAAAAAACTTATCAATACTTTGGGCCTTTTTAGATGTGCCATCTTCAACTCTCTCTCTGCCCTTGCAGACCTTTTCATCATCAATATTTATACACTGCTTTGAATGTATCTCACAATAAGCCAAATTCCTTTTCTGCATTTAATATTTGTTCTAACATCTGTCAATTCAGTTTTATCAGATTCAATTTTAAATTTTGTAAAGCAGAAAAACATTTTCTTTAACTTGAATCTATGCATCACCTTAATCTCTGGCTGCTTGGAATTCATGTTCACTGCCTTTGTCAATCTTTGAACTTCAAGAGAACCACTACAGAATCACAAAGAACCTTACCAAATAACAAAAACCAAATCACTTGAAGACCTTCAACAACCATAATGCATGTAACTCAGAGAAAATAACATAAGATTCTGACATTCCACTCTACTTCAAAGATAAGTTTAGGAAGGAAATCCCCCGGCACATCAATGTTGGAAAGAGCAATAACAGTTAATGTACTTTAAAAAAAAAAAAAAAACTTATTTTCCTGGAGAGTTGTTTTAAGTGAAATATTTTATAAATTTCAATTGACAGTAGCACTGGCTGCTTGGTCAATGAATACTGAATGTTTCCTTATAAGGAAACAGCTTCTATTACCATTAGGGATTAAAAAAACAAATACTACACTTTGATCCCAGCTCAATGGCCAATGAGTGAAGAAAAATATAACTCAAGAAGCACTAGCTACCAAATGTTTCCTTATAAAGAAACAACTAATATTACCAATACACAACTGCTGATCTCACATTTCATTTTAAAAATTGTTCCCCATCCTATCATCCATCCTACAAACTGTAATACTCTGTATGCCTGGAACCACCCTAGTATCTTAGGATTATCTCTTCATTTGATGAAGGCAGAAAAAAAGTCCACGATGAAAAGAAATGAAAGAAATATGAATCTTGACAATTCCATTTTGTGGCTGAGAAATCCAAATTCTTATGGAACCCGAAATGGATAAGTGTCGTATTGCATGTCATCTCCTTCCAGACCAGTTTCTTGGGCTTTTTTGGCAATTCCTCAGTCGGGACTCAATGCTGCATCAACAGATTCAATCAACAACAGACAGTTTTGTTTTCTTCAGGTTTCTTTTTAATTGTTTTATTTTAGGAGCAGAGGGACATAGTAGGCATTATTTCTTATAGAAAAGTCAATCAGCTGCATAAGCATGGCTTGCTTCCCTGCTGAAATCGTGCAGAGGAATCTGGGAGTGAACAACATTACAGCTTTTTATTACCACAAATATACTCCTTATTTCAGTCTTATATCGAAACTTAGACAAAAACAACCTTGCCATGTCAAGATTCCATGTCATCCCCGCCTCACTCAGTCTGGATTGTAATTCTTTTGACAATGAGGGTGGGGTCTGGAATTATATTCACTACAATTATCATTTTGTCATTTAGCTTACACATTCTGCAACACAAGTTTAATCTCTAGAATGTCTATGATGTGTGTATGTGTGTGTACATGCATGTATGCTTCTTCAGGCTGTGATCAATCCTGAATCTTTACATCTTTCTCTCTTTCACTGTTTTTATAAATAATTGCCCTAATTCCACAGACAGGAAATGATCTTAATTCTTTGCATCATCCTCCTGTTAATTGGCAAAATGTCTTGTTATTCACTGATTGACATTTTATAGAATAACATAATTCTATAAAAAAAATTAGAAATTGAGGGTATATTTGTCATTTCGGTCAAAAGAAAAGTTACAGTTACTTTCAGTTTTGTCAAAAGTGGTGGAGTGTAGATTGCATTGGGCAGACACCAACCCAAGTGATGCCATTGGTTGATTTCCAGATTGTCTCCACAAAAACAGCTTTGTTTCTTTTTTTGTTTTTTTTGTGTTTCTTTCGGGATGGTGTTTTCATTTGAAATATTTGACTTAATTAATTCCCTTCTATTTTTGTTCATGCAGGTAAAGCAAAATTTTTACCTAAGTTTCACTTCCTGGATGTTGCAACGTCCAACTTTATACCGTCTACAGGCCTTCCTGGATGTAACTCCACAAAAGGGACAAGATCTACTAGACAATTCCTTATTTGTAAGTTTTTATATATATATATATGTGTGTGTGTGTGTATACAGTTGATTGATTTCTTTTTTATGGCTTATCAACCCTTTGTGGGTTATTTAAAGTCAAAATCTATTTTGAATATTTTTTTTTTTTTTTTTTTTTTAAGTGAATATTGCATTAACAAATGTTTGAGAAATAACAATGATTTTTCCAGATACAAGTCCTGCTATTTAACCCAAGGCTATCTACACATAAATGAATGAGATAAAGCTGACTGGAATTCAATATTCCAAGCCACTATGTGTGTAAAAATAGTTTCCATTAGTCTGGCACAAGCTCATAAGTGCTGAGCATCAAAATGTTTACACAATAAGAATGATTTTCTTGTCTAGCTTGCATAATGTTACAGTGATGTGTGTGTGTATATATATATATATATATATATATATATATATATATATATATATGAGAGAAAGAAAGATCTTTGTTCGTATCAACTGGTAGAATAAAATTAGATAGAAAAATATTGGAACACTGAAGGAACAATCAAGTTGGCAAACACTGACAACAGGTCGTATATTGTGACAATTAATCAAGACGATTTCTGAAGAAATAGGAAACTTATTTCATTTTCAGGTTTTGAAAATAGACTTTTGAGAAAGAAACCAATTAATGATCATCACAAGGATTTTCAAACAATACAAGAGAAATTATCCTTGGACTGTAATCAAAACAAACTTTGATTTATTTATTTTGTAATTTTGGAAAAGTTAGAAAGAAATTAAAAAAGAAAATAAATTTGCTTAGGGAAGAGGGATGTTTATAACAACATCAATAATGTTGATTATGATGATGACTGTCAGCACTTCCTGTCCCCTAGGGAATTCTGGGAGCAAACAGATCCAGTGAGAGTTTGAATAAAATTGTTGAGTTTACTATGTCTTGTGTCATTTCTGTGCTGCTTCCACTTTTTAGTCTTGTATAATTTATATTTACACTCTGTACAAGGCCCAAGAGCCACTATGTAGAGTGTTACAAACTAAGAACACCAAAGATATTCGTTGACCCAAGATTTGAACATGTTAAGATTGTAGCAATCGGGTAAGCATATTAATTCAAAAGCATAAATCTGTATAAAATATAACAAACGGTACATGTACGTCAGTTTTTTCTTGTCTAAATTTTTTTTCTATCTGAAAAAGATCTTTTTTAACCAGAATTTATCGGTACATTTTTGTAAAAAAATAAATGTTTTCTGTTTCTTTATTAAGAATTTTTTTTTTTTAATTTTGCATATCTTGTAGGTTCTTGATAGTATTACCTGCAATGATGTGTTAGGAACGATGCCATCTCTTGGCGGTGCCAATTTCCACCGGATGGAAGGACTTCCACTCTTTGGAATGGCCCAACCGAACCAAAATGTAAGTATAAGGATTCACGTTTAGTTAAAATTAGTTTGACAATTCAGTCAAAAAAGGATGGCAATATTGAAGCAATTTTTCAATTGCTTACAACTTGTAAAATATCAAACTTTGTTCTGTAATGATTTCTGAATGTTAAACTAGAATAAGATAACAATTGATCCTCTATATTCTCATTGTTATAAATGAAAACTCTATATATATATATATATATATAAATGTTTTTTGTTTTCCATTTCAACACTATGTAAAATTTTCAATAGAGTATATCTGTAAAAAGGGTAATATAAATAAAGACAAAAGGAAAACTTATCCTAGCCAATGTGTTTTGTCCTTTGAGAGACTTGATCGAGGCAAATGAAAGAACTTTATTTAGCTACAGAGGAAGCATCTGGTTAGCAAAGTCGAATTCCTGCTTTTAAACTACAAATTTCTTATGATTCAATTCCTGTCAGAGGACTCATATTTTCAATGAAATTTCTTGGACATTCAGGCCAGTAAATGTTGTTAATGTTTATTTAAGCATTTACTCAAATATTTGTATCTCTAAAAATAACATATAAACAATAAATATATTAAAATAATTGTCAAACTTAATCCATTTCATAATATATATAAGGTTGAGTCATAAGTTCCCTTTTTTTTTCTTTTATTGGTCCACTTTTTCTCTTTTTATTTCTTTTTGTGGAACCCGTAATCTGAGTTGCCTGAATTTCCTTATCTTTACACAATATCTTTTACACTTTAAATGTTAGCAACTGTTAGATTGTGATCTGTTTGACATCTTTGCTAATTTCCAAGTACTTTGCTTTCCAATAATTACTTTAGATAATCTCAATAACATTATTACCTTGTTTGAACCCCTATAACAGTGTACAACATAAATGCACTTTCAATGCCCCCCTCCCCCCAATGGGGGTTATAAGAAATTTTCATCCACTGTGTACACACTGTTATGACTAGGCAAAAACTCAGGTAGGGTTAGTATCCTCCAAATTTCTTAATTGCCACATATGATTAATAGTTTGGATGATAAATTTGTCATGACAATATTTTCTCAGTCCTTTTCATGTGTTAGATTAACCATTATCCACTTTTGGTACCATATGCCAGGCACCCAATGTCCGTTTTCAATATAACTTTCTTTTAACATCTCTCTCTACGTCTGAAATGAGGTATTGTAACTATTTACATTGTTTGTACCGTTGTCCTCATCTTTATTGCTATATTCACAATGTTTTGGCCATTATACATTTCGGCTTTCTTCAGGATCTGTCTATATTCCTGAGATGAGGTAACTATTTACACTATATTGTTCAGACTGTTGTCCTCATCGTTATTGCCATATTCATGATGTTTTGGCCATTGTTCACACTGGCCTCTTGATAACTCAGGTTGTCAAAGAGAATTAACTAAAACTTTAGATGTCCAAAGGCATGGCATGTGGAATTAGAACAATCTAATCCAGTGAACTAAATAAAGAGCTCATTTTGAAATTACAACAAATATTACCTGAAGTAGGTCAAAGTGAATAATAACTTTCGTTGTATTCATCAGAAAATCATGATCCAGACCTCCTATTCCTATTTTTTGGGGAGTGTCGAATCCATTTTTTGGCAGTGAAAATCTACCCCCCCCCCAAAAAAAAACTTTGAATGGGTTGAATGCAAAATTTAAGCTTTTTTCATGGCACGTCATGATTTCTCAACCTATTTTTGAATTAGAATTGAAAATTTCATGAGGATCATTGCTGAACAATGTACCTATTTTCTCATATGATTGGTGTCGATTATAATCTGGCAAGATTTCCTCATTCAGAAATGTTGCTATTGGACTTTGTACATAGCATCACACTACTTGGAGACTTCCAACAGTAGAAACAACAAAAAAGGAGAGCACACGTAACTAGAGAAGAAAATAAAATTGTAATCAATGTTTCTTTTCCACACTACAAAACACAAAAGGTTTTGAAGTAAACTTCCATCAGTGCTAGAGAGATAACAGTGAAATTGAGAAGCCTAATTTCCTGAAAAACTGTTTTTAAAAAAAAAGATTTTATAAATTTCAAATAACAGTAAAACTATTCAGTAAGTAACTGCCAAATGTTTCCTTTATGGAAACGGCTAATCTTACCATTCCAGATAAGCTTCCAAGTCCTGCTCTGACAACACCATTGGTAATATTCTTGAATTCATCTTTTTTTTTTTTCTCTATTTGCAGGGAATTCAAAAACTTTTTGAACATATGACCAAAGAGCGAAAGTATTCACACGTGTTTTTTATTAACCTGCGTAATAACCTTTGCACTTTCATAAAAAATGAAGCCTACTACTTGTCATGCAAAAGTGAAAGTCTTAAACCAAGGCTCCACCACCCAGACGACACACATTTTGAGGTAAACACAATTTACTATTTTTTTGAGGAGGGGGGGGTGAATTTGTGGGAGGAGGAATGAAATTGGCTAATTTGGTTCTCAAGTGGTTAAATTATTCCTCCCGTAATGTTAATAAATTGTCACAATGTGAACGGAAATAAAAATGGCGACAGTGTTATAAGAATCCCAAAGAAACTGTTTGATTCTTTAAATGGATGAAGACGCCGATGCAAAGGCAATAAAACCACAAAGACACAAGAGGTTTTTTTTGAGTGTGAAAGAATAAGTAAAAACAAGAAACTTTATTAGGGAGCAAGAACAATGGAAGAGGAACAGAGATTAGATATACAAATGACATTGCATTAAAATTTTTTAAAGATCAAATCTGACAAGAGAAGAAACTGTTAGCATAGAACTTACAGTTAGATCAAGCCAATTCAATTGTGAAGTGATGAGACCTTGCAGCCAATCTAGTACAGCACTTAAATTCAAAGTCTACATACCATGGGGTGGGGGAAGGGACTGAAGATGAGATGCCAGGTCAGGACCAATAATATTGCAGATTCTTCTTTGGATTTTATCAAGAATCTCTAAATAGGCTACAGGAGCACTGGACCATATGTTGCAACAATATTCAAAGTGTCAAAGAATGTTAGACTTATAAATATGCAAGACAGATTCAGGAGAGAAATTATGAAAAAGTACATAAATAAACAAACACAAATATCAAAAATTTTAATTTTAGAAAAATGAAAATATAAATTGGAATTTAAGTCAAAAATATTCGGAGATTATATAAGTCATTATTTAACATATAATAAAATAATTTATACTGCCTTTTTGACAGTATTAACACCTAAAGTACAAATTGATTAAAAATGAACAAGAGTAGAAAATGCAAATGGATAAATATTTAGGTAAGTGAAAACAGAAATTAAAAATTAGACATACAATCTTCAGATTAGTCGTATAAAAAAAATAAAAACTAATTAATACTATTTCTTAATTTGTCTTGCTTTCTACTGTTTTTTTGTTTACCTAACATTTAATAGATTTTTTTAAAAAAAGTGTTCATTTTTTGAGAGCTTCTAAAAAACAATGTTTATATATGTACTTTTACAGATGTTCCAAAGGTTTTCATAACTAGGGATGATAGTGGAGAAAAGCTCTCACTGTCTATAAAATGTTTCCATCTCAAACAGCCTCTGACAACTAAGTTCAGCTCCGAGCCAGAATATGGGCAGAGACTAACAACTGGCACCTCATAATCAGCTAATTAGGATAAACGGAACTTAACAGCGCAGAAAGAAGGAAATCCATGTAGGGAAAGGAAAATCTATATATATATATATTTTTTTTTTTTTTTTTTTTTTAACCTCCACTGCCTTGTGGTCATATCCAAAACACAGAAAGGGTCATGGAAGTAAATCCAGACAGAAAAACTGGAGTGAAACCCTGAAGGCGGTTGTCTGTCCACACTGACAACTTTCTGTCAACACCTGCGACCAAGCCAGCTGCAAATGTAATGTCCTTTATTCCTTTTGGATCTTGTTGATAGTGCTGAGAGGGGAGGGATGTAGTCTGGCCTCCATATACTATCCCTTGGGCTTGCGCCCTGGGAAGGTCACCAAGGAACTGAATTTTGACTAAAACAGGATGATCACAAAATCAACGAGTACATACTACAGCTAAAGAATAAATGAGTTATTTTGGGATTTACATAATTTTTTTTTTTTTTTTTTTTTTAATTATAAAAACATTATTGTTTATTTTTTTTTTTTTTTTTTTTTGTAGACAAGCATTAAAAAAATGATGAAATCGATTTTTGTCAAGACTTGAAGGTGGATTTGAACTTAACTTTTTTTTCTTTCTCTCCATTTTAGGACATCGAATCTTCCCTGTCTGCTAGCATAACTCAGATGCCTATCATGGTAAGTTTCAGGTTCGAAATGCTCATTCCAAATCAAAATGAATGGATCAGTTGACAACGCCACTTAAGCAAAACTGGTCCACTTGTGGAAAAAATAGGAAAAGATGTTTTTAGAAATATTTTTTATAGATTAGCATTCATTCAACCTTCCTTAGACCACATTTGTCAATCAAAAATTGTTGATTTGTTATGACCTGTCTATAATCTTAATACAATGTTAAATCAATCTCTGAATTTTACAGACTTATCTGGACTTACTTTTTGACTTACAATCGTCAAGTTTTGGGGGTTTTTTTTTTTTTTTTTTTTTTTTTTCCTATTTTTTATGAGTGTACCAGTTTATTTAAGTAGTTCCCCAGTTGACCAACACAATATAAAATTACTTCCATGGATGGTGATGAGTAGTACACTTTTTTTTTTTTTTTCTTTTTTTTTTTTTTGTGGCCACCTCCATATTTGGTCCCTCATTCCAAAATCCGTAAATGTAAGTCACTTGAAAGATGTCAAGAAGTCCAAAGGATGAAAATACCTTCATTAATCGGATTGTTGTTGGGATCAATGATGAAGTGGTTTTCTGTTGCTTTTTCCATGATTTATTGAAGCCATGGGGGACACAGGGAAAACCATGAGTCATCTACTTAAGAAACTTGTATAAATGGACTGCAAAACAGGGAGGGAGAGTAAAAAGACAAACTTTACTAAGAGCTACAAAGTATAGTAAGCTGTGGAGAGCCATGATAATCCACATCCTGAAGACAAGTAACTTACCCAACAATTTTGAGTAAATGTACAGCAAAATAGAGAGGGAGAGCAAAAAGACAAACCTTACAAAGAGCTAAAAAGGATAGGAAGTTGTGGAGAGCCATGATCACACATGGTGCATAGAAGACGAAGAATCTAAGACATTTCTTTTGCAGATATTTTTTTGTAGAAGTAAATTCTGCCTAAATTCCAAAAGTTACATTCTTCTTTTATATACTGGGTCCCTTCAAGACGTGGATGCTCATGACTCTCCACAACTTCCTATCTTTCATAGCAAGTAATGTTTTTCTTACTATTCCTCCCAGTCCTTGTTCTATCATAAACTTGCTAGGTAGATTACTTGCTGTTGCTCTCTGCCCATCTTGCTTTCTGTATACCCTATGCATGTCAAATTCCCCAAGCCCTCTTTCCTCATAAATGCATCCCAGAAATTACAACTTTCTTTCATATTCTAAGTATATGTCTCCTTTTTTGTTTCTATTTCTCTTAAAACTTCCTCATTACTCACATGCTCCGTCCATGATATGCTCAGTATCCTTCTGTAGAACCACATTTCGGTTGCTTCATGTCTCCATTCATCTGTGAGGAGGTTAATCAACATTCACTGCTATATAGGAGGATTAATAATTACAAGTTCAGCTCTCTTTTTACATTATTTATATTCAGGCTATTATCCTCATCTTTGTTATTGTTGTTTTCACAACGTTTCAGGCATTTTGCTCTCCGGCCTTCCTCAGATGTATATCAATCTGGATAACGTACAGGGAATTCTGAACTGAACCCTTTATTTAATCGATGAGGGTAGATTGTTCCCATTCTGCTCCTCATGTCTTGAGATATCATCTAGATCTTATTTTTATTTAGTATTGTTTAGGTATTGCTTGTCTGTTTCCACCGAGGGCAAGTACACACTGCCTGACCCATGGATTGAACTCACAACCACTATGTCACCAAATTCACAAACCAACCATTTTATTTTTAGTACTACCAAAGTATGAGACTTCTACAAATTTATATCTGCAAGCTTCAGTTTCATCTCCCATTTGTAAACAAAGGTTTCAATGAGAAAAAAAAAATGCCTTCTTTAACAGGTAATTCTAACTTTGTCCTGTCAGTCTGACTCCATGGCCGAACAGGTAGAGGCATGCTTCAGTTTAAATAGTTTCCTTGAAAAAAGAAAAAACAAAAGGAATGAAGTGTACAGAAAGTCAATATCTCTATCATATCATCTATTGGAATACTGGTTCGTTCTTCTAGGGACAAGTCAGAGGCTGATCTGTCTCTGACTACTGAGAGTGCCTCTTCCGTGGGTACCTTGGTGAACAAACTCACCACATCCAAACTCACCATCTGGTTGGATAGGATAGGGGCATATTTGATTTTTTTTCCCTCAAAGCGGGCGGAGTTTTGGACATATGAAGGTGACTTTGCAACCAATGGGTCAATTATATCTACAAGGAAGCAACTCGGAGGGTCTTTGTGAATCTTCCTGAAGGTTTGACCATATTTGTTTTTATTAAATTGTATAGGATGATTTTTCTCTCTTATCAGAATAATTAGTGTGTGCACATATATATATATATATATATATATATATAAGAAATATAGTCTTAAGGTGTGCTATATTTATGGAATAAAGTGCTCAATATCGGAGATAGAGCATGTGTAAATATAAAAGTGAACATAGAAGTCAACTCTTAGAGGCGACAGTCTGTTTCATGATATATGCAATTGTCAGGCCACATATGCTGTTATTTTTTTTTTTATATATATATATATATATATATATATATATACACACACACACACACACACACTTATATATATTATTCACTTATATATATAAAGTGAACATAGAAGTCAACACTTAGAGGTGATTGCATCTAGCATGAAACAGACTGTCGCCTCTAAGTGTTGACTTCTATGTTCACTTTTCACAGGCTGTTTTTACTTTATTGCCATTCTTTCTAATGAAAGACAATGAAATGTTTTCCTGTGGCATTCCCCATGGTTTTGAATTTAGAATAGTTCTTACCCTAGACTGGCTGTCATGCAAGGCTAGAAAGCCCAGTCTACCCTACATTTTAGAGCCTAACTGGGAGAAAGAGAGACTGATTCTTGCCTTTTCCAAAGGCATTAGTGCGGAAGTGGACTAGGCTGGAATTTGAACCTGGCTCACCAATTCCCGATTTCCTTACCTTCCATGTGACAAAGTGAATTGCCTTCTAAAATGGTGCTTTCTTGTTTATAAACTACTACAAATTGGTGACACTTTAAGGTAAAAAAAAAGCATTCACCAACAAAGCAATGATAAATCAACACAAATGACAAAGTTCCACCAAGCATTTTACATTTGTGAGAAAAAATGCCTGTCGGTTTCCAGAAAATTACATATTTTTATTTATTTATTTATTTTTATTTTTTTTTATTTCAGCTGATCAAAGACTTGAAGAAAGAACCTGAAAAAATTGATGCTACAATGGTGTTCACAACAAAGGAAGTCTTTCAAATGGCTGAAGAGAAATTCCATAACATGTCATATTTTCGAGTTCCTCTTCCTTCTGATTATGCAGTAAATGAAAATGTAAGTTAATTATTTTTGTTTTCTTTTACAAATGCAATTTGAGAAAAATCATGGGAAATTTGTAGTTTAAAAGCAATAATTTGACCTTGCTAACCTGACACTTCCTCTGTAGCTAAATGGTATAGCATGTCAGGAAATATATGATTTTGACCCCAAATAGTCATATTTCAATAAAAAGCAATTTTTGTACTTATACCCACTAATATCAGGAGATAGTACATTAATATTAAGAAATAAAATTAACTGTTCACTTATCTTGTCCTGCTGTTCATAATAATAAATAAAATAAACTATAGATAAGTGAACATTTACTTTTAATGGCAAACATATACCTTAATGCCTGCAAAATAAATGGAGTGTCAAAAGGACAGTTTTTCCCTTGACACTGCTATTATTTTTAACTACCTTCACTCCTCGGCAATGTCTGTTTTAAAAAACAATGTTTAAAATTGTAATAAAATCTAAATATATGAAAGTGAATTTGTACATTTTTTGTTCTTGAGAATTTAGAAGAAAAATATTAAATTATTTATTTATTTATTAGATTTACAAGAATTATTTTATATTTACGACATTCTAAAAACAAATACAATTAAAATAAATGCAATGCAATATTTATCATTTACCAATTTATAAAGAAATAAATATGAAAACAATTTTTATTTATAAATTTATAAACATTTACTAAATTATTAAAATATGTGAACCAACTATAAAGAAATCCTTATTTACCATTTTATAAAGTTTGAATTGATTGTCAATTAGATTTTTCAATAACCATTCAAATAAACAATCTAATAAATAAATGTTTATTATTTTTGTTATCAATTCTCAAGAACAAAGAAAATGTATAAATTTACTTTCATATGTTTAGGTTTTATTTCAATTCTAATAATGACTTTCTTTAAAAAGTGAACATAGTTAAAATGATAGTTTTTTTTTTTTTTTTTTTTTCTCTTTTTTGCAAGCACAAAGGTCTAAGTTTGCCACTAATATATATATATATATGTGTGTGTGAAAAGTCTGTGTATATAAATAAATATATAATTATTTATATATTATATGCGCGGTACTTATTAGAAAGTTTGTCTGAAGATCGCAAAAGCGTGAAACCCAGGGTCACAAACTCACATCAATCCAACCAAATATATATAATGTGTGTGTGTACGTAATACTTTTTACTGTATGCACCGATATTATGTGGATCCTAGACAGGAGTACAGAGGAGTGACCTTTTGATCCTAAGTAGAATACAGATACTACACCCTGATCCTAGTAAAAAATGCCAACATTTACCTAAATAACTGGTTATTCTTTATGGGTAGTATGCTAATTATTATAGCCACTGTCTTCCACCTTTTCACCAACTGAGGGATTCTTAAGCATAATTATGTCACCATATTTCTTAAATTTAGTCTGTAAGAAATCCATGTGAGGATTAAATTTGTACTGCAAGAGTAATGTTCTTTGCAAGACTAACATGGTGAGCAAGTTAAAGATTTCTAAGTTTGTTTCTCTTTCTGACACCCGGGTTGTGTTCTCTTTTTTTCTAAACAGGTCTTGGATGATTTGATGGGGATGCTGACAGATGCAGAAAGTCAATTCAGAAACTCCAGTCAAGATCTGAAACACCAGCGTAGCAGCACAAACAGCGGCAGTTTCTTATTGCCTTCCCAAAAATCCGGTGCTGAGATTCTTTACAAAAGAAGATCAAGTAACAGCAGCAACATGCAGTCGAGGGGTTCCAGTGAATGTGCAGTCACCACTGTCCCTTTCAACCCTGTTTATTGTTTCTTCTGCTCAAATGGTATTGAACGATCGACTTTTGCCATGGCTGCATCAGCCCTTTTCATGTATAACAAATCAGTAAGTACTTTAATCTGTTGATTGGCAAGAGGGAGTGTGGCAAACACTGCTGTCTTAACATATTGAGGAAAATTAGAAGATGGGGAAACCAATTTCTTTACTGAAATAGATAACAAGAATGTCATCGGAAATTCAACAGTGCATTTTAAATTCCACTGCTAAAAAGTTTAGCCGTCTGTAAATAAACTCTGGCACTGTAACATGAGTTCTAATTTAATGATCATATTCTTTAAATATACTCCTTTTTGATTCATTCTGAATTTATAACATTGAAAAATATTATTGTTAATTTTAAATAATTTCATAGGAGAAACATTCTTTTAAAAAGTCTTTCTGAAGATTTCCCTGTTTTGTTATATTTTTTTAGTAAATCTTGTATTTCCAGAATTGCATGTTTATGGCTAAATACTGGTTTTTATAATCCACCCTTTCTGAAGGTATCTGTCTATATTTCTGAGATGAGGTATTATGTTCACTATTTACAATATTCGGCCTATTGTCCTCATCTTTGTTTTCATATTTATCACGTGTTGGCCAATGTACGCTCCGGCCTTCTTCAGGTGGTTGGAATGTCAAACTGAACCCTTTATTTCGCTTGCTGGTGTAGACTGTTCTAGTTCCATGTGCCATGTCTAATGGATGTCCTGTTAATTCCCCTCTCCAAGTTCTCCACTGCCTAAACCAGGTATTGAACTCACACTCTTTGAGTCCTGTCACTGGATCAAACTAACACCATTATCCACTTGTGTCACGTGTCCTTGAGGACATCTGTGTATGAATTTCTGGGTATTATAAACCTAATGTCTTCAGCAACCATTTTTTTTACCAGTGCTCATATTGCAATTTTTGCTGTTATAATTTCATGTTTTATTGCAATTTTCGTTGCTTTTATTGCTTTTCTCTGGCACTCCTTATTACTGGTTCCCATATTGTATTCATTTCTATGCTTGGTCGGCTCTGGAGATTTTTGTGGCCTAGCATATGTGCTGATTCCTTAAGTTTATGAATTTTCCAATGATGTTCTTTGTCTATGATTTCAACCTGATCCCACAGCAGGTGGTGATCTCCCTTTTCTCTCCATATGTGGTCAGCCATGCCTGATTTTTTTTACTTCCCCAAGTGTTATAGCTTTTTGGTGTTCTTGAAGCCTTACCTTAAGGGGGCGGCCTGTCTCCCCTTTATATTTCTTTCCGCAGCTGCACGGGATGGTGTACACACAGTCTTTAGTCAGATATCTCTCCCGAGTAAGACCCCTCATAGAGGGGTCTTACTCGGGAGAGATATCTGCGTAGTGTCGTCCAGCTTTTGAAGGTTGTCCTGATGTTACATGAACTGCAGATCCTTTGTATTTTCTACGATAATCCCTTCACATAAGGCAAGCAGACTGTTTTCTGAGTGTTGTTGTCCTCCTCCTCTTGTACCCACCTATCCCAGTTTTTTGGGGGCTGCTGCCATGTACATAGGGTAGTTGTTACGTTGTAGTGTACTACTTATACTGATCTTTATCTAATGTCTCAGAGTCACCACTTATGACTTTTGTTCAGTGTTGTAAGCAGCGGACAATCCCTTTCTTTATGCTGTATGGATGATGGGAGTTGAAATTGAGGGACTGTCCAGTGAATGTCGGTTTACAGTATACGAATGTCTTCAACCCATGCTGTTGTTCCTCTCTTTCTCCATCGTATTGAAGGTCTTATTGAGTTCACATGGTCCAGTAGAACCTGAACATCTTCCTGGTGTGGCCAGTGTATGAATACCTTAACAATAGTTGGCTATAGAGATATAGATTCTAATGCCATTTCCTCAAAGTATACCATGTATATATCCACTGCTGGTGATAATGGCAAGCCCATTGCTAAGCCCTCCTTCTATTGATATATTCTGGTGTGTTGTTTGTGTACAGAAAGTGTCTCCATCAGATTATCTATTGGAATACTAGTCCGTTCTGCTAGGGATGAGTCAGAAGCCAATCTGTCTCTGACTACTGAGTGTGCCTCCTCTGTGGGTACCTTGGTGAACAAACTCACTACATCCAAGCTCACCATCTGGTTGGATAGGATAGGGGCATCTTTGATATTTTTTTTTTTTCCCAACGTGGGCGGAGTTTCGGACATATGAAGGTGATTTTTCAATCAATGGGTCAATTATATCTACAAGGAAGCAACGCGGAGGGTCTTTGTGAATCTTCCTGAAGGTTTGACCATATTTGTTTTTATTAAATTGTATAGGATGATTTTTCTCTCTTATCAGAATAATTAGTGTGTGTATATAATATAATATATATATATATATATATATATATATATATATATATATATATATATGAACATTGAAGTCAACACTTAGAGGTAACAGGCTGTTTGATGCTAGACATAATCATCAGGCCACGAAAAACAGCACTCGTGGCCTGACGATTGCATATAGCATGAAACAAACTGTCGCCTCTAAGTGTTGACTTCAATGTTCACTTTTATATTTACACACGCTCTATTTCTGATACTGAACACTTTATCCCATAATTATAGCACACCTTAAGAGTAATATATATATATATATATATATATATATATATATATAAAATCTCACACATAGTGCTGGCATTAATAAAACAGTGCTCGATGTAATATAACAGAGCTATTAAGTATATATTAACAAATGTACATATTATCCCTCACCAGTAACATGACTCACAATCATATATATATAATTTATTCTATACTTATAACATAGTTATAAAATCACTACACAAATAGCCATTTTGTTTCAACACTTCTGGTGTCTTATCAAGTGATAGTGTTTTGTAGTGATTCTGTAACATACTTATGTAATAATTTTTGAAAAAATTCTATTTGTTCTACTCTCTATTGAGCACTCTTTTAAGAATAGTATTATTGGTTATTGGAATGTATTCTGTATACACCAATCCTATACTTGGGTGTTTGTGTGCATATATATATATATATATATATATATATATATAATTTTATCTCCAGGTAAGATAAGAACACATGGAGTATAAATAAATAATATTATTTATATATACGTTGCGATGGGTAAATTGTCGCCATTTTCTATTTTTAATTTCACACATGCTCGTCGTTTGTTTTTGAGTTCATTGTGTCAGAAATTTGTAAACAGCATGCTTTAGTACTTGGCATTCATGCCAGAAGCTCCAATACATACATTTCAGAGTGTTTGGGTATCAATTTGGGGACGGTGCAGAGGATTCAGAAAGAGTTGCATGAGTCTAATGGTGATTACGAAGGTACGGCTGCTGAGAAAACTCTCTCTGATCATTCGGATAAGAATTTGTTGGTGAGAAACCGACTCAATGCAGATACCTACATTCATTTGCTTGAAACAATTTTTAATCAGTGGTCTGAGAAAATTTATTCAATTTTATTTTTATTAATTAGTGGTATTATTAGGAGGCGCAGTGGAGTAATGGATAGTGGCTTGGATTGAGGAATCTGAGAGTTGGGTTCGAATTCCAGTCAAATCCATTACATTCACTTACATGCTAATACCCTTGGGAAAGGTATGAATCCTCTTCTTCTCCTCCTAGCTATGGGTAGATAGCAGGACAGACCAGGTTCTATAGCTGTGGATGGCAACTGGTCTAAAGAAAAAAAAAATGGCAACCTACTGCAGGAAAAAAAACTGCCTCGTCAGTCATGTATCCAAAGATACATGATCGCCTAAGCGTGTATCATGCATGGCACATAACTGACTGACTGGTATTATTAGCAATTCAAAAGTTTATCAAATACTTTGGTGTGTCTTTGGTCAGTGTTAGTTCTCTATTTTTTTTTTTTTTTTTTTTTTTTCAAAATGCTACTTTCAAGGTAGATAAACTTCCTCTTGGAAGATTGATGCAACACAATCTTCCTACCCCATTTTACCTGTTTGTTTTTTTTAATTTTCTTTTTAGATTGTTAAATTATTTCTCTCTGGTTACTCTAAGTTCTATTTGTACCATGTCACTCAGTACCATCTGCTGTATGTCTGGGTCACTGGCAACTAATCCAGTCCCTCGATCAGGCCTTTTCTGATGGGAAGGCTGGCTAAACACCTAGCAAGATTATAAAGAAAACTTTCCAAAAGTTGGATGAAATATTTTGGTATGGTCAACTGCCACTTGGCACAATCAGGCAGACTGGATTGCATAGATATATAGGCAAACAGTCGATACAGGGATGGCATATCATCACTGAGTGGAGGGCTGAAGTCAAGTCAGGCTTGAGTGTATCCCTAATTGAATCAATGTCTGTGACCAAGGTGAACCTTTAAGTTGGAGGACAGCATCTGCAGCTGGAGAGGTACAGGCTCAAACAGGTCTACACTCTCAACCCAGATACGTGTAAGAAACTGGTCAAGTGGTCAGCTCCACATTGACCCTATGACTACACCCAGAGATGAGACTGATGATGAAAGCTGCTAATGATTGATTAAAACAACAGCTGCATTATATTTTATTTAATTCATATAAGATCACTTGATGTGGTTAAATATAGGTTTACAAAAGATGCAAAGACATTGAGTGGTATGTGTCTTTAATTGCACCCTGTCGACTTCCATGCAATCATTGGATGTGGGGAGTGGTGTTAATCAGAAAATATTGTGACTAGGTTAACTCATGATGATTGGAGATTAGATGCCTTTGAAAATTCTATCATACTTTTGTCTCTTTGTATAATCCAAGTGAAAGTAAAACAATAGCATTAAAAATTAATGAAAGGCTTTGAATGTTTAGTATCAAATATTTTCCCTATATTCCATGTTTCTGATTTCACTTTTGTTTTCATTTCCAGGGATATCCGCCAGGTACTCGGCCAGGAGAGCAAGAACGAGTATCCATTGCCAATGCTGAATATACGATGGGGAAATTTTTAGTAAGTGAAAGAAATATCAAACTCTATGACATTGTTTGAATATAACGATCTTTGCTATTGTGCAGTCACTGTGTGTGGAGTGAAGGTTCATTTCTTTGCTTTTTACTTTAAAGCATTTATTGTTCTAAAGCCATGGTTTGTTCACAATTTGTCAAGGTACGCCATCTTTCAACAAAAGAGTAAGATTCAAACAACCTCAAAACTCAGTGTTAAGTTTTTTCTTATCCACTTATAAGTCCTTTGGAAAATGAAATACAAATCTCAAGATGTTATTTTTATTTTTTATTTTTTGCAATGTTGTTCACTCTGTACAAGGCCAAAGAGCCACTCGAAGTAGATACTTGAACAGGTTAAGATTGTAGAGATCATGGAAGCAGTGGTTCAGGAGAAGCTGCTCAAGTAGAAATTATCTCACCAATAGAATACAAATTGAATGAGTGTGGTTTGCTACAATCTGCATGGCGTGGTGGGGCGTGATGGAAGCAAGGCATGTAGAAGCTTTGGAATAGTGAAGTATTAAGAAAGGAGAAAATTTTGTTAGAAATCTAGAGAAAAAAGTGCTGAACTGTTATCAGTCTTCTTATATGCCAGTGAATGCTCGACAATTTCCTCACAGATGAAAAGGAGGCCTGAGGCAACAAGTGTAGTTCTACAGAAGGATGCTGAGAATACTATGTAGGTAGCATGTGAGCAATGAGGAAGTTTTAAGAAAAATGGAAACAAGGTCACTACTGGGAACTGGAAAAACAGTTGAAATTTCTGGGACAAATAACAAGGAAAGAGAGCTTGGAAAATTTGACAGTTTATATAAATAGATGGCAGAGCTGGGACTGCGTGGGATGATTAGGGAACAAATGTTGCTTAGAGCTACAAAAGACAGGAAGCTGTGTAAAGCTATGATTGCCCACATGTTGAATGGACACAGCATATAAAAAAGAAGTCCTTCACTCTTGACACCTGTGTGGCTCAACACCAGATTAAATTAAAGGCAAATGCTCTTGGTGGCTTTCATGTTTACTTTATAATAGCAACTTTATTGAAACCTTTTAATCTCTCATATAGTCACTGTCTTATCAAATGGGAGGAGCCATGGAAGAAAGCTTTATTATCCCATTTACATTACCCCCCCCCAATTATGTGCTTTATTATATCCATGACATTAATAAGGACGTGCTTCATTGATAGAATAGCTGAAGAGAAAAGGAATGACAAATGGGCTTTGTTCTCAGGGAGAGTTATATAATCCTATGCCATACACAAAAGTATATATTTGTCTATATTTCTGAGATGAGGTATTATGTACACTATTTACATTATTCGGACTGTTGTCCTCATCTTTGTCGCCATATTTATTACAACGTTTCAGCTTTTCAGTATCTGTTTATATTTCTGAGATGAGGTATTATGTACACTATTTACCTTATTTGGACTATTTTCTTTGTTGTCATATTTATCACAACGTTTCGGCCAATGTACGCGCCGGTCTTTCTCAGGTGGTTGGAATGTCAAACTAAACCCTTTATTTTGCTTGCAGGGATAGACTGTTCTAGTTCTAGTCTACACCAGTGAGTGAAGTAAAGGGTTCAGTTTGACATTCCAACCACCTGAAGAAGGCCAGAGCATGCAACAGCCCAAAAATTGTGATAAATATAGCAACAAAGATAAGGACAAAGATAGTCCAAATAATGTAAATAGTGTACAAAAGTGTGTGTGTGTGTGTGTGTGTATATATATATATATATATATATATATATATATGTGTGTAATAAATCCATTGGTATATAATCCAAGTGGATCCTAGTATTATAAATTATTAAAATTTATCCACAAAAAGAGCTCAGTGTATTTATTATTACAGAGCAAATAATTAATACACAATAAAATCTAAAAGTACCTCATACGGGGAATAGGTTTATTTCAACTGACAAAATTCATCAGTTTTCATTTTTTGTTTTTGTTGGAATTATTAATCTAGACTGTATGTTATTAGCAAAGTTATGCCTATTCTCCGTGTGAGGAAATTTTGGATTTTATTGTATAATATATATATATATATATACCATCAGTTGTGAAATATCAAGAATGTATACCAAGCTGTAATGTTTTTAAATCTCCCCCTTATGGCTCCAAATCTTCTGGAATCATATTTGCCAACTTGATGTCTCCCATGAGCAGTGCCTTCATTCAATCTTTGTCTATAATTTGGAAGACAAATTATCTAATATTAATTCATTTTCAAAGTGCAATATTTGACGCCTAGAGATATTTCTAATACACTTTTACTGAGCTGGTCTTGTTTTGCACATGTGTGATGAAATGACACAAAACTGTACGATGGTTTTTAGAAATTGGGAAGACCCCCTGTTGAGATACAAAGATAAACTTAAGCAAAACTTAAATTCTATTATTTATCCTCCTTTTGAGGAAGTTGCTTCTGAATTGTCAAGCAAAGGAGTTTGTTCATATAAGGCATTACACCTTTTGAGAGGTCAAGCAAAGCAGAGCACAGAACACCACTTTAAAGTTACTGCAGCCTCCACAACGGATGCTGTTCCTCGTCCTGTGTAGAGCATTAAGGGTGGAACTGGATGCTGAAAATGACAGAAGTCATCGTATTTTATTACTGTGAATGTTATTTTTTAGTGGGTACACCTGATTTTTTGTTTGTTTTTGACATCCATGTCATTTTAAACAGTGAAATGTCAAATGCCTCAAAACTGAGAAATCCTTATTGACAAAAAACATTTATAATAACATAGTTACTTTCTCTTTTTATTTTAAATGGTGAAATTAATGCCAATCAGCCTAGAGTTGCAGAAGTCCTCACTAAAGACTCATCAGGAGGCACATTTTTTTTATATATTTTAAATGCCCCATGATGTACCAATTTTTGGTTTGTCATGATGTGATATAGATATATTCAAATTATTTTTCTTACCATAGCTTTCTTTTATTTTCATATACTGACTATATTCTACATTTATTTTAACTTTTTTCTGTGATTTTTTTTTTCTTTTTATTTAGAAAGTGAAAATTGTCTCAACATTACAGTTATTCACTAAACCAGAAAATTCTTCTATTAACCATAAAGATACATTTAGTCAAAATAAGACACTAATTCCAAGGAATGAGATTATGATTCACTTTGGACAAATGTGGAATTCCTCCACTCAAGAATCATAACATTCCAAGTAATTGGCTTCTATGAGATTTTTTTCCACCTTTCAGTCCAGCGTGAAACCCAATAGAAGAGATATTCAGTTCTTTGAAAGTAAAATTTTCTGGGCAAATTTGGACCTTCATTGCCTGAAAAAAACTATGGATTTTCACTTTCCTTCACCCCTTGGCAATGTTTATTGCTTTAAAAAACGATGATTAAAATCGTAATAAAACCTAAACATATAATGAAAATGAATTTATACAATTTTCTTTTTTCTTGGTAATTTACAACAAAAATATTAAAACTATTTATTTCTTAAATTATTTACAAGAATAATTTTCTATTTAGAACATTCTAAAAACTAATACAATTAAAACTAATACAATGCGATATTTATCATTTATCAAGAAATAAATATGAAAACAATTTTTTATTCATAAATTTATAAACATTTAATAAATTAAAATATGTAACAACTCTAAAGAAATCCTTATTATTTATCATTTTATGGAGTTTGAATGAATCGGCAATTAACCAATGTTTTGCCAAATAGTGTTTATTATTTTTATTGTCAAGAACAGAAAATGTACAAATTCACTTTTATCATGATTTTAGGTTTTATTACTATTCTAATAATCACTTTTCAAAACAATAAACACTGCTGAGGAGTGTAGGTAGTTAAAATAATAGTGGCGTCAAGGGAAAAAAAATCCTTTTGACACTCACTTGTTTTACAGGTGCAAAGGTTAAAGTTTTCTATTTTCAACTGATCCTGAAACGTCATTCAATAAAGTGTCATTTAAGAACAAGCATTCTCGGTTTTCTACCAATGACTACGGATTTCATTGTCACATGACAGAATTTTCTGCAAAATGTTTGTCCAAATTCCCGATAATGTAACACGTCTATGTTAATATCAATAAAAAAAACATTTTTTATTTATCTACATCACAAACGTGCAAAAAAATAGTTTTCAATATGCAACCAAAAATGTCTTTTTCATTTTTTGATAGCCTCATTATCTTGACTTCTTGTTTTTCATATCAGTGAATAATGCTTTCATTATTTACAACAAGAGCATTTTCTGATTTGAATAAAGGTATCTGTATATTAAATAGAATAATTGGTTTAATGAATAATAACCTCAATAATCTAAGCCAGTTGAGAATGTTAACAAATTTTTTCTTGTTTCTTTAGGCCGTGAAGCACATAGTAATGATTCTGCCTGATGGATATCAAGTGAAACGAGAGGTGGATTTTGTGCTTGACAAACTGTTTGAGATGATGAGTACAACACACTTCCATCTTCGAGAAATGATTTTGGTTACCTACAACCAGGTAAATAAAACATAGCACCTGTTTCGCTCATGTTTTTATTAATGTGGAACATCACAATTTCAAAAGTGGTCCAAAATTGCAAAAGATTGAGGAATCAAAAATGAGTAATTATGACAATGTTTCATCTAAGAAATTCATGCAACTTGAGATTTTTGCATTTTTCTTGTTATAAAAAAAAAAGAAAAAAATTGAGTCTGACGACATTGCTTCTTCAAACAAATTTGAAAGTCATTATTATTTGCAGTGTAAACAAACAATATGATATCAGTCGATATTTCTGAGATGAGGTATTGTAACTATTTACATTGACCTCATCTTTGTTGTCATATTCACAATATTTCAGTCATTATACACTCTGGCCTTTTATCTTTAGACAATGTTTTTTGTTTATTTTATTGAATCATGTTGTTTCTTGTTACGTATCTGTTATCATGTTAACTAAATTGCAAATGTTTCAAGCTTTTCAACAGATCTGGCTTCAGTTCTTATTTTTTTTTTTATTATTCCAGGCACAAAAAAGTACTTCACAGAAAGCTCAGAGGGAACTTTACATACAAAGCCTTTTGCTATTGGAACGTTACATTTACTTAATACTCTTCAATGGTTATCTGCACACAGAAAAGAAACCACGTCGAAAAACATTTCGACAGTGGATGGAAAAGGTGGGTAAAGGACACACACACGTGTGTATACATATTTCTGTGAATTCAAAACATTTTTACTGTTCGTTTTACTGCGTTTTTATTGTTCTATATCAATTTCAAATTCACAAGTGTTTCCTATGCAAGGGAGACAACTTTTGTATTTCTTAATTTATTATATATGTATATATAATTCACACACATGCGCACGCGCGCACACACACTGCAAAGTATTACCAGCATCTGAAGATTGCATTGTTCATGAAACTCTGAGTCATGCTACTGGTGAGGGATAATATGTATATTTATTAATGCATACTTTATAGCTGTTATATTACATTGAGTTCTATTTTATTAACACCTGCACTTAATGTGTGATATATATATATATATATATATATATATCAACTCTACTCTTATACCTCCTCTTAGTAATGAAATGATGGGCATTTCCTTCCCAGACTTTTGTTTAAGGTTGTGTTGAAAGGCAACATCTTGATTATATCCTTATTTTCACTTCTAGTCTGCTGTACAACCCATTAGTTGTTGCTGCTGTTGGAAGTCTTCAACTGATGTGATTTTTGTTATTTGGTAAAGCTCTTTGTAATTTTGTAGTGAGAAGAGCAATTTATAGTCTGAAGGATTGTCTTAAGATGATTCATTTGCCATTTTTAATGAGATCTGAGAAAAAAACTATAGGTTTTTATCTGTCTTAATCTATTACTTATATATTTATTTTTTGGTAATTAATTACTTATGTTAATTATAAACTTGTCCTTTAATATTTCAGGATTGCAAACGTGCCGGTGTGTACAGATTGCTGAATGACCTTGCGTTCCACGACTTCCAGACTGAAATATGTACACTAAGCACGCTCCGTGAACGTTGGCGGGAACTCAACAAATTAGAAGATGGAGAGTTTGTGTAAAAGACTTTCTTCAACATTATTTTTTCTTTGCTGTTCATTTCCATCTGATTTCATCCTTTACTGTAAAGTCTTTACAATGGAGAAACCTGGCAGACCCAAGACACGAAGACGCTTAAACTCCTATTGGAATATATTCTGCCACCTGGACTGGAAAAATTGGACTCATTCGGAACTTATTCTGGCCAGCAAAGATCCTAATAACTGTGTTGCCTTTTGTATATTAACTCATTATCTGAGGCTTTTTACCATTTTTTTTTCCTTTCCTCTTCAAAATGGATTTGCAGGTAAATTGATTTGACGAGTCATCCATTGGAAATCAAAGGACTGAGACTGGTCATGACAGGTCAAATAGACAATAATTTACTAATCAACAAATAGACGTCATTGGGGGTGGGGGTTGTATGAAGTTGCAAGATATGGGGTGGAAATTATTGGAATTTGGATTGAGTCATTTTTCTCCAACATTTTATACTTTTTTTTCATATATGTACTTTTCATTAATTAATAAATTGTCTGAATATCATTGTTTCACAACTTAGTTTTGTTGTTAATATACAATATATTGCTGTTAATAATTTGCTTGCTGATTTATTTATTTTTTTGTGGTTATTGTGTGGTACAATGAACCACCACCTGAACACACACGTAAAATCAAGTGTGTTAGGTGTTTTTTATGTCCAGAAGAAAGTTTTTTGAAGTAGCATTTAAATTTGATGGAAAATTCGGAAGGATTTTAAAAGAATTTCTTTCTCTATTTGCATTTCATATTTTCAGTTGATTTATTCTTCATCCGTCTTTTTTTGTTTATGTTTTTAAGTAAAAATGCTAGAAATAGAATTATTAGATTTTTTTAAATCTATAAATCATTACTTCAGATGAACCATTTAATTTTAGGAAAACAAGATTTTAAATTAAAGAACTTTTTTCATTTTAAAATACATCCTCTGTATTTGAAGAAATGAAAAACCTCAGAGCACTTGAGCCAGCTTTATTCTATCTATATATCTAATAATAAAATACAGATAACCTAAACATATTGTTTTAATTCACAACTCTTTAGTTTCGTGTTGACTGTAATCTTCAGGCAGTATGACAGTCAAAATTATCCAGCACAAAAATTTTATTAGAAACAACAGTACTGGATTTAGAGCTAAAGAGATCAGTTAGAAAAAAATCCAACCCAATCCATAAGATGTTTAGCATGTGCGAGAGGAGTTTCCCCTATGATGGTCTAAAGAGCAGTGAAAAAAGACTCGAAAATGAAATTGTACATGAAACCAGTGAGGCACTTTGCTATTCCAGGACAAAAAGTTAGAAGATTAGAGAGGGGGCGAAGATCATCTTGAATAAGTTGGAAAATGATCCTGGAATAATATATATATATATATATATATATATATATATATATATATTTTAACTTTATTTCAATACATCATGAGTTTCCTATCCTTAGCTATGATTAATTAATGAACATGTCATTTTTGTTAATGATTGATTTCATCCTGATTCTTCTTGCTCAAAGTAGAGTGCAATAATGTTATAAAAACCTTGGAGAATTCCAGTAAGATATCTTTAATCATTTCTAAGATACAACGGTTCAAAGGTTAATCTAACAAATGGACAATTTTGCTGTTACACCTGGTATATGATAAAATAAACAAAAAAATAGGTAACATATCTCAATCAAACAGGTTTTACTTTTATTAAGGCTTTGTCAGAGATCAAGATAGAAATGAAAAAAGCAGAGACACACAGAGGACTGGTATGTTATGATTTTTGGTTTGTTCTTATTGGTCAGTTACGTGTCATGTGTATTAATGCAATAGATAATATATAAATATGTGTGAGGAACATTTTGGATGTTAAAGAGTGTAAAAGTGTATGTAAAGAAACACTTGCTTGTCTAGGTACAAGTGTTTCTTTACATACACACCCATACACTATTACAGTGGTTAAGAATCGCTGAATAAAATATATAAGTGTTATATATCTGAGATTATTTCTCTTGTAATTATTAATGATAATGTTACAATTTCATTTGGACCTCCTCCACCATTTCTCAAGATTCTAGATTCCCCAATGGAAATTAATATAATTATGTCTGACTCCAAATTGAAACCCTAAACTAGTTTGCAGACACTGCATCTTTTTTTCTTCTCCCAAAGTTCCATCTTCAATGCCATCAGGCCATTTATGGATAATAAAAAATGGAGTAATTTGAATATGTCAGATCAGGCCAAAAATGGAGTATTGTTGCCATATTTGAATAGGAGCTGCCCAGACCTCATTTTCCAGTCTTGATAGATTTCAAAAGCATCTCCAAGTCCTTGTTGGAGAAGGATTAATTGCCACTTTCCAACCTCTCTCTCACAAGTAGGATGTGGTGAGTCTCTCACTGCTCTATCACTACTACAATGGTAAATGCTCAGATAAGCTCCATCTCCTGATTCCACTAAGTTTGATGCACACAGTTAAGACCTGCCATGCCACTTACATAATAGCAAACCACCTACAGTTGCTCCATATTCCATCAGTGAAAAGTAATTTCCACTCAAACAGCTTCTTGCTATGAACCACTGCCCTGTGGAACAGACACCCAAAAGGATGTTTCCCTAATCACTACAATCTTAACCTGTTCAAGTCTAGAGTCAACCATTATCTTCCCTTCCTATATATATATATATATATATATATCAACTACTCCTTTCTCCCTGTCTAACCATATAAACTACCATTTATCATAACCATTTACCTTGATTGGGCCTTGTACAGTCTGAACCTTACTGTAAGAAAAAAAAGTCATCTCATAAGTATAGATCTTCAAAAGAAATTTTAAACATGAAAAACAAAGTAAAAGCCTTGGTTGAATAATTTAATATTTCCTGAATTAAATAAATTTCACAAAATATATACAGTACAATTAAGGGCAAAGGTTCAGCTCATTTGGTGAAGTCATTTGCCCTTTGATGAATCACAAAAAATCTCATTAATCAAGGTGAAATAAAAAGCCAGGAATTTAAATGATAATTTTCAAAGCAGGCCCTCCCCATTTGGAAGACTGATGCAACACAAACTTACAATTAAATTCCCCTCCTGACTGACTTTACACAAGTAGGAAGAAAGGTCTAAATGTAGAGCCTTTTAACAAAAAAAATAAATTATTCTAAAAAAGAAAAAAAAAAAAAGCTTTGCTTGAAGCATAAAAATAATTGATAGGAAATTTTATAAAAGATATCTTTTGTTTTAAATCTTATAAAACCATCACAGAATTTGGGCTCCAAAATTCTCAATTCTTGATAATTTAAAATCAGTTAAGCTGAGATGTTGAGGTTAATGAAGACAACATAGACAATTCATAAAGTTCACAGTAAAAAAAGTTCCCTTATGTCCAATAAACTGTCAACTGAAAGCAATGAAAGAATGATAAAAACAAGACATTTACCATTAATTCTTACAACACTTTATATTGAAACAAAAAAAGTTTTAATAAAGATGGTGAGATTTTTATTGATGTTTTATTCCTGAGAAGCCAGGATTACCCATATGTAGAAATGGCATGAGGAAAAAAAGAGACTTATTCAAGTCAATACAGATTAATTTTATTTGAATAGGTTTTATGTTTGTAACTGAGCCCTGATTTGCATGTCTTAAAGTGCTGCTATAAGATTTTCCTATTTTTCGAGAATTTCTACCAAACAAAATTCTATTTACTTTGTTCAGATTGTTGTCAACATCTTTACTGTCACATTCACGACATTTCGGCCATTGTACACTCCGGCCTTCTTCAGGGGATATTTATTAGTCCAGTTCAAAATTCAAAAAAATATCATCTGAAGAAGGTTGGAATGTACAATGGCCAAAATTTCATGAATCTGACAATAAAGATGAGGACAACAATGTAAACAGTTACAATATCTCATCTCAGAAATATAAACAAAATTATTATATCTGTACAAGTGAATGCTGAGGTTTTAATCTAATATTTTGGTTGTAAAAGATCAACTTCTACTTCCAATACTTACGAATGTATATACCAACACTTACCAGCAATATACTTTATTTTTATTCTGCACAAATTATTGCAATCAAATGATGCAAACACATTTTTTAAATTCTTTCATTGTTTTTTTTTTAATATTATCTCATAAAAAAATAAAATTAACTAAAAATTTCTTACTGTCAATCTGAGCTTTTACAGTTGGCTATATAAAGTGTGTATATATATATAATTAAAGCATTACGCTTCAAGTATGAATTGAGTTCTCTGAGCCACTGGTGTATTTTGAATAGAGAAAACGTTAAGATTCCCTTCCTTTCTGCCGTGTGACGATGGCCTAGAGGTAAGATATCTGACTGATGTCAAATGAGTAGAGTTGCGATTCCGGCTTGAAGCAATCAGACATCTAGCCACACTAAGGAGCTGTGAAACAGTCTGTCTGTGGATGACATTATATATATATATATATATATATATATCAATCAGTATCATTGTATCAGTTATTAGCTACAATTTGGTAAGGGGTTGGGATGTATTTTACAATGAAACCTGACATCAGTTGAATGGATGTCATATGGATTTTAAAAAAAAGAAAAAACCATTGTTAACGGTAAAAAACTTTCAACGTCATTTTTTAAATTTAAAGATTTTCGGGTTTTTTTTTTTTTTATCATAATACTTTTATTTAACTACGATTTGAAATATTCTCCTTTTTAATTTTTATTATACTATATTCTTTTTAAGAACAGTTAAATGTATTAGAATCCATTATATTATGTAGGATTATTTTAACATCAAGTTTAAGTATGTATATGAGGTTACATTTTTTTTTTTTTTTTTTTTTAAATTTATGACTATGACGGCAAAAATGGTTACTTAATTTCACTGATTTAGTAAACTTTTATTTTATATATAAACCTAGTAATATAATGTTTCTCATGTAAGTACAAAGGACATGGGTCATTCAAAAGCTTACATCTTATGGCATTTCATATTAATTTTATTTTACTATAGGTGTTTTTTTTGGTTTCTTTTTAGTGCGTGTAGTATTATTTAAAAGAAATTTAGGTTAGAATTCATTCAATTTAACTACAATTTTAATTACAATTTCAAAATTACAACTTTAAAATTTTTAAATATTTTCATTGTTTAGTTTTAATAGACTATATTACTTTATAACAGAAGGAAAATTACTCATAGTAAGTAAAATTATTTTTTCCATATCAAAGTATATGTAAATTACAATTTTAAACTCTTTTTTAAATTTAAATATTATTTAAGTAATATTAATGGCACTTACTACAAAACTAGCTAAGTCATTTCTCAGATTTAGTAAACTTTATTTATTAATTAATTTATTTATTTCAAATATATGTAACCTAAGTAATAAAGTTTCATATGTATGTACAAAGAACAGGTTAGAATTCATTTTATTTAACTACAATTTTAAAATTACCACTTTCAAATTTTAAAATATTTTCATTGTTAGTTTTAATAGACTATATTACTTTATAACAGAAGGATAATTACTCATAGTAAGTAAAATTATTTTTCCATATCAAAGTATATGTAAATTACAATTTTTAAACTATTATATTTAAATATTATTTAAGTAATATAAATGGCACAGACTAGAAAACTATCTAAGTCATTTCTCAGATTTAGTAAACTTTATGTATTAATTAATTATTTATTTTAAATATATGTAACCTGAGTAATAAAGTTTCATATGTATGTACAAAGAACAATGGGTCATACATTACCTTACATCATCTAGCTTTTGTTATAATTTCATTTTTCAGTAGGTGTTTTATTGGATTCATTCAAGTGCCTGTAGTACATTTATTATAGAGGTGTTTCGGTTAGCATACATTTTATTTAACTACAATTTTTAAAAGATGCTTATGTTTGAATACGTTTTAACTACAATTTTAAATTTTAAGTACAAGTTTAAAATATTTTCACTGCCATTCCAATAGACTTTTTTTCTCTTTTTCTCTCCTCTTCCTTTTTTTTTTTTTTTTTTTATATATTATTTAAGGAAAATTTTTGACAATGACGGCATATAATAGCTATTTCATTTCTCTGATTCAGTAAATTTTTATTTTTTATAAACTTAGTAATATATAGTTTCTCTTGTATGCATAGAGGACACGGGTCGTTTAATGATCTACAAATTCTAGCTTTTCTTATTAACTTCCATTTTACTGTAGGTGTTTTATTTGATTCTTTTAGGTGCCAGAAATATTTTGAGAGAGATGTTTGATTTTTATATCTATATTTATTTATTCTAAATGAAGTTTGATGTTGGTTGAATCTTTTTTTGAATTCATGGCTAGTGCAACCTATATATATTTTTATGTTATCAGGACTTTCAATCGAAGAGATATTGCATTGGTATACTAATGATTCAGTGTGACAATTTTGAGGGTTTCTACAGTTACATAGTTTTTGTTTATTTCCATCAGTTTTTATCTTAATTTTTCCATTGTCTAAACTTTTTTGGTTTTGGTATAAGTGTTTATTTAAGATATTAGCATTATGGTTCTTAATGATTTTTTCTAAGTTTTTTTGTACAGCTATAACTTAATTTTGGTGTGTTTTTATTGAAAATAGTACTTAGTTTACTTTCACTAGGAAAATGCTTGACTATTAATGCGAGGAATTTATGTCCTAATCTGTTCTTTACCATTTGGTTATATGGGGGAGTATACCAAATAATCTTTCTACATCTGTTTTTTCTATGCTTTCCATTTTCATTTTTTATATAAGTTAGTTTTGGGTTTTTGTAGCCACTATCTTTTAGAGCCTTATTATAGGAATTGATATGCTCATCAAAAATCTTGTCATTTGCTGAATTTGTACTAATTCGTTTACTGATAGATAACGGTATATGTTTAATTATAGATGGGGGGTGATTTGATTTAGGATGTATATATATAAAGGATTGGTGTTGGGTTTTTTATAAGGTGTGTATGTATTTTTATTTAGATCTAAAGTTATATCTAGGAAGTCTACTTTTTTTAATTTAGTACTAACCGTAATTTTTAAGCCCATGCTTTTAAATTCTTTATATAATAACTTTCTAATTCTATCTATTTTGAAGTTCGTTGAGTTTCTAATAACCATAAGCCCATCGTCTCTGTACAAACCAATATCATTTGTATTAATTTCATAGTGTGCTGTAAGGTTGTATAATATAAAAAGGCCAATGAGATCAGAAGACTCAGCTGAGTCTAGTGATCCCATTGTGATGTCAAATTGGTCGTAAGAATTCTTAACCCATTCCTCACCTTTATGTATAAGTACTGATTTTTTTGCATACAGAATAATGTTCCTTTCTTCATCTGTAATATCCGTATAGTGGGTGGCGAAGTCCAACGCATTGATAAATAGTTCTTTGGAAATTGATTGGTAATAATTTTCAATATCAAATTGTATTAATGTACAATTGTTTTTTCCTTTTAAGTGAGTAAACCAGTTTATCACTTCCTTTGTATTAATTCACAGTTTGAGGCTAATTTTTTCTTTAATTTGTTTATTTACCCTTTCAAGGATCATTTTACTTATTTTTCCTATCTCCGGTCTTGTGGGATTAATTATCCTTTTAGTGGGATTAGCCTCAAAATAAACCAGATTTTTTTTTTTTTTTTTAAATCCAGATGACATTCATTCAACTGATGTCAGGTTTCATTGTAAAATACATCCCTACCCCTTACCAAATTGTAGCTAATAACTGATACAATGATACTGACATAAGGAAAATCTAGACATCCCTTGTTCAATTTAAGTAGAATATTCTGTAACCATGGAAACGTGATTTTAGCTGTGTCTTTAAAACCCGGTAATTTTTAAAAGTTACTCCAAAATTCGCTTGAAAATGAAATGGAACTAATGCTTTTAATTTAATTGCAAAATTAAATTCAGGGTTTTAGCTTCTATTTTTGAAACATGGTTGAACTGTGTAGCGAAAAAAAACATATTTTAAATCAATTAATTTATAATATTAATGCTCTGTAAATTTACATTGAGCACTATTTTGTAAAAATAAAAATATCTATAAGAACAATCGGATTTTATATCTTACTGTTCTTTTTTTATTTATATATATATATATATATATATATATATATATATCCCAGGCTATGGTTAAATAGCAGGACAGACTGGGTTCTATAGCCTGGGATAGCAATGGGCATGGGTATAAGCTGAATCAATGAATCTGAATATATATTACACTGCAATAATCAATTTGTATGTGTTTAAACTTGAATATTTATGTTCTCCTTTGTGCTTTTCTTCTGTTTTTTTAATCACCAACGATATAAATATATATTATATACTTTCATCACATATTCTTATATATATATATATATATATATATATATATATATATATATAGTGTATATTTAGGCAGCAATTTTTCATTGATGCATGTTTCATTAAATAATATAGACAAGTTGTGTCTATTTATTTTAAATAAGTTCCTTTCATATTGTCTGATAAGCTTAATAATATTATCATTGAAAGACGAAAGGAAATCACCATATTGATAGATATTTAAATCTGATCTAAGCTTTCAGATTACATAATCCATTATCAAAGATGAAAATTACTTTTCAATATATCAACCAATACATGGAGCAATAATGATAGTCTGTTTTTGTTGCGTGAAAAATTTCAAAGCAACGATAAACTCGTGTATACAAGAGGCAGAAGTGAAAATCACATCGCAGCTTGTGACATCACACATAACCACGTGAGTGTGAAAACGAGAAGTATTAAGTATGAGAAGCCGTTGGTATAACCCAATGGCTTCTGTGATCAATTATAGACATTTAAGAATATTTGTAGAGATTTCGTAGTTTATTTTGTTCAAGTTAGGTTTCAACTGTTTTATGTATATAGCTTCAAGACTTTTTAGTTTTTGTTTGTTGTTTTCATGTTTAAGTTTAGTTTTGTTTTTAATGAGGATTTTCCGGAATTGTGTACACGGCCAGGCATGTTGTTTTAAATGCCTAAAAATGTTAGAGTTATCATTTGAATGTAGAGTCAAGCGTTGTGAAAGCGAGTTTGTGGTGTGACAATATGAAAGGAACTTACTTAAAATAAATAGACAAAACTTGTCTATATTATTTAATGAAACATGCATCAATGAATTTATATATATATATATATATATATATATATATATATATATATTGTTTGGAATGAAATTTCACACTGTTTGAAAAAATATTTGAAATAATTATTATTATTAAAAAAAATCTATGAAACTATTTTATTCTATGCTGAAATAATCTGGAATGGTAATGAATCATAATTCGATTATAACCCAACAAAGATGGACTCTACGGAGGATTCTGAAAAAAAAGTCTTTCAAAATCATTAAGTCATACATTTTTATACTCTTCCGAAGAATGTGATTCCAAAGTTATGTCTCAATAATTCTAAAACCTGAATTCATTAATCTAAATGATCCAATTATTTTTATGAAGATTATGCTGCTTTAAAAGAAAAAAAAAAATGAGGGCGATAAGAGAAAAGAATTTCCGATCATTGCTTCTCATTATGATTGATTAAAGCTAAAACCCCACCAACTAAATGAATGCTCCCTGTAACTAAAACTTGGACATGAGTTGCCTCCCTTAGAAAAGTAGGCACAGGGCGAAAAGAATTCCAAGGTTTCTGTTGTTCAATATTTTCTGACTGTCCTTTTTGACACCACAAAATGGCGTCATTAAGGGATGGGAATATTTCTGTTATTTGATGTCGATGAGAGTTTTTGCGAGATTCTGGAGCCGTAAGAATTTGGGAATCAATGTCATGCCAAATTTCTTCAAATTGTTTGCATTTGTTGGATTCTTTGATCTCTGAAAAGAAAAAAATGAAATGACAATTTTTAGAATCATTTCCTTATTTACAAGCATGACGTATAGGACTGAGAAAAAAATATAAAATTAGATTATAACCTTCAATGCTCCAGACAATTTAGACATTTTGTTTGAGGTAAAAAAAATTTAAAATTTACTAATTTTTTTTTTTTTGTTTTTACTGTTAAAAAATTTAAAGTGAATGAAGCATGTAGGTCTTAGAGAGGACCATCCTTCTTTGAGCCTGACACTACAGAATCACAAAGAATTGTACCACATCATGTCAAAGGAAGACTTTCAACAATAGCAAGAACTATAATAGATATCACATGTAACTTAGAGAGAAAATAATGATATAATGTTGACATTCCACACTATTTCAAACAAAAAGTTAGGAAGGAAATCACCATTAGTACTAGAAAGAGCAATAACAGTTACTGGAATTGAGAAACCTATTTTCTTGAAAAATTATTTTAATGCAAATTTTTATAAATTTTGTCTGAAAGCACCAATGGTTGCTCAGTCAATGAATGCCAAATTTTCCTTATAAGGAAACGGATAATATTACCATTACCATCTCCTTTCAAAATACGTGATCATGGCTCTCCACAGATTTCTTTTTTTATTAATTATTAATTGCTAAGGAAACAATAATGTATTGGTTTCTCATTGCCTTTTCCAGTTTTAAATTCAGAATTGTCCTTCTCCTAGACTGGCTGTCACCCAATGCTAGAGAGTTCTGTCAACCCTACTATTTAACCCATGACTGAAGGGGAGAAGCTTGATTAATGCTTTTTCAAATTAATGTGAAAGAGCCTAGGTTAAATTTGAACTCAGCTCACCAATACCACTTTCTGTGCCAGAAAACCGTTACTTAAATATCCTGAAACAATTCTTTAGCAATTCAAATTAAAATTATATTCCACCATAGTCATCGTCAGGGTTTATTGGAATTTCTTAAATACACAGATACATTCACAAGAACATATCCTTCTAGAAAACAAAACAAGTTAAATGGGATTTTTATTTCTTAACAGAAATTATACTGAATTTACCTCAAACTTCCATGGAACGTAAGAGGGCCTAGATCACAAATTAAGAAGTTGCTTTTTAATTTTCTTAGAAAAGACAGAATTGTAATAAAAATGCTGGCAGATTAGACGATTTGGACATAGACAAGACTACAGAAATACTAAATGAAATCTACAACAGTGGCAATATACTGGAAGACCTAAATAGATCTATTTTCATAGCACTGGCTAAGAAACCAGGTGCAACAAATGTGAACTGCATCAGGCAATCAGCCTAATGAGTCATATAACAAAACTTATTTCAATTCTGATGAACAGAATACATAGAAGAATCAGACCAGAAATAGGACAAGAATAATGCAGGTTCATCAAAAACACTGGAACAAGGAATGCAATATTTATGCTCAGAATGTTATCAGAAAGAGCAATACAAAGGTAGAAGGACACATACCCATGTTTTTTAAATTATGCAAAGGCATTCAATAAAATATGCCATAAAGATCTGTTGGAACTGCTCAGCAACCTAATGAATGGAAACTGAGTGTGAGACTTTTTAAGATGGATAGACAAAAATAGAGCCATTTCTTCATAGATATCAGTATAGTGAGGTTTAGTATTCAAGAGAAGAAAAATAAGTATTTCAGCTGTAGGGGTGTTATAACTTGGAATAAATAATTATAAATCCCCTAACATTTATATATAAAAATAATACTTGAGAAAGAGAAAGCGGGGGAAACAATAAAAGGAGTCTTATTTATAATCTGGTTATTAAATGGTGCTGGAGAAACGAAAGTATTACTAAATAAAATTGTGAGCTTGAGATCAAATGCAGATCAAATATGGATCAGAAGATAAAGAATAAGTAAATTTTATATACTACAATCTTTTTTATATGTTATTTCTTTATTTATTTATAGATTTGTGTAATGAGTGTCCAGATAATTTAGTTGGAAAATACAAGAAATGTCTGCAGTTTTATTACCTCAAATTTTTTTTGTGCTAAGAGATAAATATTATTATTATGGCCTGAAAAGGGGAAAAGGAGCCGAAATTTTTGTTGATGTATGTTTTGATGACCTGTCTATGTGAACAGCTTGTCCGATAGTGAGAATGTAATGTGTCTGTGTGTGCGTAAAGGAGAAAAGTTGGATCGATTCACATTATATTAAAATGAGTGAATTAATGATAATTATAATTGTCATAATTATTTCATTATAATTTTTTTGACATTATAATTAATTTTTATTTAATTTTTTATGGACACAACACAGTGACAGTATAATTAATTTTTTATTTATGTATTTCTTTATGTGCATGACAATATATATATGTATTTAAGCATTATAAAAAATAAAATGAATTATTTAAACAAGTAATAAATAAAAAAAAAACAGAATCCACCTATATTTTCAAAAACTTTAGAAAACCCCAGAATATTCTGAAAATATAACTTAAATATAAGTCATCTCTGACACCATAAATAACATTGTTACATCATTTTTTGACACTCAAAGCCAAAAGATAAAGCAAAAGAATATTGAAAGAGTAGAACAAGACAAAACTTCTAAAATTTGCCAAATGCAACTGAGGAAAAGATAAAAAAAACTGGAAAGTTGTAATCAAAAATAACAGAAGTGAAAAATCCCGGTTTGTATGGAATGATGAAAAAACTTAAATCACACATTATGATTGAAAGTAAATCTAGTTGTGAATCAGAAATAAAGAGAACAATTTTTCATCATTAAAGCCTTCCATGGCACCAACGGCCAATTCCCAAAGAAATTTTTTTTTTTAGTTTTATTCAAAAATTCTCTTACTGACAAAAGACTTTCAACATTTGATTCCATAAATTTGTTAACTTGATTTGTTTTTTATGGCTTATCAACCTCCTAAATTTGATGAAAAATAAAAACTTAAGAAATGATTTTTTAAACACCACTTTTATAATACAATATAATATATTATAAAAGATCATGAAATATACTTTATGAGGGATGAAAATGAGGGTACAATGATAAAAGCAGTCAAAATGAAGATGCTATAGTTTAAAGTGTAAAGTAAGAGTTATCTTCTCTTGGAATGGTATCCATAAAGAAAAGAAAAACTTACCAGAAAGATTTGTGTCCAACATGTTTGTGATGAATATTGCAATATCAAAGGCACAGTTCTGAAACAAAAACAAAAAATAACTTTTTTTTCTTCCCAGATTTCGTGGTTGTCAGACATTTTGACAAGATTTTTGGCAGCAACCTATGCATGGCTATTTTTTTTTAAAGTTGTAGGGTCATTGCACAAGAACAACCACACTAATTCTGCCTTCCAGTGGTCCAATGTGGCATCACATCTAATGCCCTTATTGGTTTCAAGAATTGCCAGAAAGGCAGTAATGTTTACCTAAAATCAGCCCATAGGGTTTCTGCTCCTGGTTTTGAAATCAGGATTGCTCTTTTCTAGACTGGTTGCCAACCAAGGCTGAAACACAATCTATTTTGCTACTTATCTATAACTAAGGGAAGAAGTTGTTTTATATATTTCCCAGAGATATGGGTCCAAAGTGAATGCAAGAAACCTCAGTCAAAACTCAAACCTAATTTTATCAATTCCGTGTTCAGTAGCAGTAATCATTATGCCACTCTCCCACCCTCACTGAAAAAAATTAAAATAAAAATCTCTGAAGTCATAAAATAGTCGATTTTCTTCAGAATTGATTTTTTTTTTTTGAGAGATTTTCTTGGAATTAAACACAAAGAAAAGAGTAGTGGGGGTGATTTGAGGAAAATAAACATTTGCTTGACTTTGGGGCTTCTTTTATGCTGTAGGAACCTCAATTTTTTTTAAAGAAAATAAAATCCTAAACTTTTGCTTGTCAGTTAAAATAAAAATCCAAGCTCACATTTGCCAAGAAAATATACGTTGTGTAATTTGGAAAGATCAACAAAAATTCAAATAAATTTAGTGAAACTATAAACAATAATCAATAGTAAAAAATAAAATCATCTTTAGAAAAGAAAATTATTGAATATAACAAGTTAGTGAAAAAAAAAAAAGTCTATGACTACATATTGCCTCTTTCTCTCCCCCTCCTTAGTGTCATTAAACTCCTCTATGGAGAATAGGGCTACAGCTTCACCATACTAGAGCCACAGCCTCACAACATTTGGTATTGGTGCTATTTTTTATAATAAATTAGTTTGGGGGTGTACTTGCTCCTCCCTCCAAACTGGTTTTGAATTCAGTCATCCTTCTCTTAAGTTGGTTATCAACTAAAGCTAGTGAGTTTGGTTCGCCCTACTATTTAATCCATAGCTGAAGGTATTTATGTGTAAGTGAATGCAACTTACTCAGATGGAATTTGAACTCTGCACGCCAATTCCATTCTCTATGTTGATAACGGCTATGCTAAGAGCATTTCCCTACCACTTATCAGTTCGACCATTATCAATGAATTTCATTGTTCATGAAACTAGATATATCACAGGTAGGATTTCTTAAATAAAGTCCATGAAAACTTGTTTTTTTCCCTTTAATGGTAATATATATTCTAACAGAAAATACTAAAATATAATTATTTTTATTTTAGTCTCTCTGAAAGAAGAATTTGAAATGACCCACACTTGATGACTATTAAAATTTGGGTAAAAAGGTGACGACTATTCAAAAGATTATGAGTGAAAAATCCCCACAACACTCAAGTGTTTTTCAAAATAAATCCCACAATTTTACATATTTTTCCTCAAATTTATTGTTTCAAATTCTGACTTTCATAATCTGCTGATAAAATATGGATATTATATGTATAAAGTAAATGAATTGCTAATAATTTTACAACAGAAATACATTGAAAATCAAGAAGAAGGGCGTTGTCAATTTTCAAGATGTTATATGTATCATAGTTATTGATTGTCCATTAAATAATTGAACTTCATTTGAGATCAAATGGAAATATTTAAGAAAATCAGATGCACAATTTTAAAAATTTCAAATGACAAGAAAATAAAATTTACCTTCAGCAATGAGAGAAGAGGTTTCGGTTTTCTTGATCCAGTCAAATTAAAGATCAGAATCCTCACGACTTTTTCATTGTTCCTGAAAATAAGAAATTTGTTTTTAAAACAACAGACTCTGTAATCCAAAAACAAATGCACCAAAAAAAACTGAAATATACTCCCCTCCATCCATCCCTGTTTACCAAGTGGAGCAAATCAAGTACATTCAGTGCCAATTTGGGGAAATAACCAAACCATAGAGCAAAGAATTTATATTCAAGAATTCCAAGGTGAAGTTAAGTTTCTCTCTCATCAAAGACACAAGCCAAAAGATTTCAGAATGAAGGTTTTGACACATCAGCAGCATCATTGTACTGACAATTTTGGTTAGGAATTTTGAGATAGGAAGCTATAATCTATATTATAAGAAAAGCAATGATTCACTGCATGTGATTTCACATTTGCATATGTCTTTATAGTGTGTGAATGGCTTACATATGACTGTC